CCATTGGTGCCATCCTAGAAAAACACAATTTTTCGTGCTGCTAGCTGCTGCACTGCTGCCGTTGCGCTTGCTGCTGCTGCGTCTGCTTGGAAAAACGCAATTTTTCGATAGATTCTGTTGCTGGCGGCTGCTAGCAGTAAAACAGGTTCGAAAAAATCACTTGCCGGGGGAAAACACCAGGGCTCTGAAGGACGAGCGAGTGCCAGAACCACGCCAAAAAAGTGCCTAACGTGTCGTCTGAAATCCTAGAAAAATCTAGAGATTTTTGGTAGGCTGCTGGCTACTGGCTGCTGGCTGCTACTGGCGCTGGCTGCTAGCCATTAGTGCCATCCTTGAAAAACACAATTTTTCGTGCTGCTAGCTGCTGCACTGCTGCCGTTGCGCGTACTGCTGCTGCGTCTGCTTGTGTCTGCTGCTGCCTACTGATGCTTGCTGCTGCCTGCTGCTGCCTGCGGCGGCCTGCTGCCTGCTGCTGGTGCTGCTGCTGGTGGTTGCTGCTGCTGTGGTGCTGCTGTCGTGCTGCTGCAATCAAACAGCTTCCAAAGCAAGAAACAACTGCTGCTGCTGCTGCTTCTGCTGCTGCTGCTGCTGCTGCCCTTTTGCATGCTCTTGCCCATGTTCTTGACACCCATTGGTGCCATATAAATGAGAAAATTGCCAAACGTGACGTCTGAAACCCTATAGAAATATATACAAGATATATAGAAGTGCCTAACGTGTCGTCTGACATCCTAGAAAAACACAATTTTTCGACAGATTCTGTTGCTGGAGGCTGCTAGCAGTAAAACAGGTTCGAAAAAATCACCTGCCGGGGGGGAAAACACCAGGGCTCGGAAGGACGAGCGAGTGCCAGAACCACGCCAAAAAAGTGCCTAACGTGTCGTCTGAAATCCTAGAAAAAGCTAGATTTTTAGTAGGCTGCTGGCTACTGGCTGTTGGCTGCTACTGGCGCTGGCTGCTAGCTACTGGCTATGTGCACCTTTTGCGTGCTCTTGCCCATGTTCTTGACACCCATTGGTGCTATATAAACGAGAAAACTGCCAAACGTCACGTTTGAAACCTTATAGAAATATATACAAGATATATAGAAGTGCCTAACGTGTCGTCTGACACCCTAGAAAAACACAATTTTTCGATAGATTCTGTTGCTGGCGGCTGCTAGCAGTAAAACAGGTTCGAAAAAATCACCTGCCGGGGGGAAAACACCAGGGCTCTGAAGGACGAGCGAGTGCCAGAACCACGCCAAAAAAGTGCCTAACGTGTCGTCTGAAATCCTAGAAAAATCTAGATTTTTGGTAGGCTGCTGGCTACTGGCTGCTGGCTGCTACTGGCGCTGGCTGCTAGCTACTGGCTATGTGCACCTTTTGCGTGCTCTTGCCCACGTTCTTGACACCCATTGGCCATGCCATCCTAGAAAAACACAATTTTTCGTGCTGCTAGCTGCTGCACTGCTGCCGTTGCGCTTACTGCTGCTGCGTCTGCTTGGAAAAACACAATTTTTCGATAGATTCTGTTGCTGGCGGCTGCTAGCAGTAAAACAGGTTCGAAAAAATCACTTGCCGGGGGAAAACACCAGGGCTCTGAAGGACGAGCGAGTGCCAGAACCACGCCAAAAAAGTGCCTAACGTGTCGTCTGAAATCCTAGAAAAATCTAGATTTTTGGTAGGCTGCTGGCTACTAGCTGCTGGCTGCTACTGGCGCTGGCTGCTAGCTACTGGCTATGTGCACCTTTTGCGTGCTCTTGCCCACGTTCTTGACACCCATGCCATCCTAGAAAAACACAATTTTTCGTGCTGCTAGCTGCTGCACTGCTGCCGTTGCGCTTACTGCTGCTGCGTCTGCTTGTGTCTGCTGCTGCCTACTGATGCCTGCTGCTGCCTGCTGCTGCCTGCGGCGGCCTGCTGAGTAGTAGTAATAGTAGTAGTAGTAGTACTAGAAGTTGGGGTCGGCGGATATAGAACAGAAAAAATTGCTACCAATGCTGTGTCAGAAAATCCTTTTCCCTTTCGCGCTCCCCCTTGCGCAGCCGGGGTCGGCGGATTTCTGGTGATGCAGATTTTTGACCCAATTTCTGGTGCACCAGATGGGGATATTTCCCTTGTTGACCCATCCTGGATGGGTCCCATTGGGTCCCATTCCTCCGTGTTTCGCGGCAGGTCATTCCGGTGATTTGTGGCACCTCTCGAGTGGTGACTCTCCTGGGAGAGACAGGCAGCGGCAAAAGCACGCAGGTGCCGCAGATGATTTTGGCACAGGCGCGCTAGGGGGGATGGATCATCGAAGGGGAATAAATAAATATATATATATATATACAACCATTTATTTGGAATAAATAGCCATTTATCTGGCATGAATGGTTAACATAGAATGGGATAAATGGCCATCTATAGTTAACCATTTAAAGCGAGGCAATTTTGATACCGCGCTCGGCGCCGAAGAAAAAGAGCCTTTTACCAAATCACATGACATTGCATGTGGTCGTCTGCAAATGTGCACAGGTATGGAAGAGGTTCTCGAGCGGCATGTTTGTTGAACATGTTTCGATTTATCTGCTGAAGCTGCTATTGATATTGATTGCCGCGCCGGAAACTCTTGTTTCGCCAGCTCACCACCGAGTCATGAGTCACTGCATCGTTTAGTTGTCCACGTTTGTTGTTGCTGTCTGACTTGCCTGACCTGCCAGGTACCTCTGCGAAGCTCGTTCGCCAACCTTCTGCATTCGCCAAGCGCCTGTAGCAGACCGTCCGCTCTTGACGGTCTGCGCGCACTGCTTGCGCATGCTGCCAAGACCGGCCGCTGCCATTCACCTATACTCATGGTGTTGGCATGCCGGTTTTGGCTACAAACATACAAACATACATACACACTTACGCACGTACGCGCATACATGCATACATGCATACATGCATACATGCATGCGTGCATACGTGCATACATGCATACATACATACATAAATACATACATACATACATACATACAGCCATACAGACATACAGACATACAGACATAAAGACATACAGACATACAGACATACAGACATACAGACATACAGACATACAGATATACAGACATACAGACATACAGACATACAGACATACAGACATACAGACATACAGACATACAGACATACAGACATACATACATACATGCATGCATGCATGCATGCATGCATACATACCATCTTTGTCGCACACCATCTTTCTTTGTGACGCACCATCTTTCACATACAACTTTGTCCCACGCAACTGTTTTTACTTCTCAATCCTTCACCGTCTCCTTTTTGTCTTTCCTTCCTTCCCCGTCCCGCTACAACATGTGTTGCTCATTATTGGAAGAAGACGTTGACATGTGGGGTAAATGACAGCGCAGATGAAGCGGATAAGTTGGCTCGCAGTTTCTGTTTTTTGCGAGCTGAAGAAGTTGTTGTGCAGTACAGTAAGTTTGAAGTCCGAAGATGTGGCTTTCGGGTGACGCACGCGCATTGTTTGACAAGCACTGGCTCGCAAGGTTTGACATTGCGCTCTGGCACAGCGGTGGATTGCGCTCGCCTGAATGAATTGGACGACGAGCTGGTATTTCATAGAATGAATGTCGAGGTCTTGTCGCGACGAGCTTTGGTCTTCAACGCCAAGCGCGACCTGGTTTGTTTGTAGCGTTCCCTTCTCCAACTGTTAGTGGGTTCTTGATGTGTGTGCATGTACTCTTTGGGCGTGATGGGGTTTATTCGCGATGCATTATGTAGCTGTTTCTTGTGCGAATGCAAAATGTGCAACAAGTGACGTTTCCCCCATTCCGCGGGTTGAGGTCTTTGGGCCGCACCGCTTGAGTGACCGTGGTGTCAGCCCTGAGGACGACTGCGGCGGTGGCAAGTCGGTGTGACGCGTCCTCGTCGGTCGCTTGGTTTGATTGATTCATTTTGGAAGCAAGTGGCATTGTTACTGAAACTTAAGTTTTCAGGGTGAAGCCTTGGAAGTTGAGCGACAAGGCACTCTGGTCTTTCATAGCATGAATGTTGATGTCTCGCCATCAGATTTGGTCTTCAACGCCAAGCGCGACCTTGTTTGTTTGTAGCATTCCCTTCTCCAACTGTTAGTGGGTTCTTGATGTGTGTGCATGTACTCTTTGGGCGTGATGGGGTTTATTCGCGATGCATTATGTAGCTGTTTCTTGTGCGAATGCAAAATGTGCAACAAGTGACGTTTCCCCCATTCCGCGGGTTGAGGTCTTTGGGCCGCACCGCTTGAGTGACCGTGGTGTCAGCCCTGAGGACGACTGGGGCGGTGGCAAGTCGGTGTGACGCGTCCTCGTCGGTCGCTTGGTTTGATTGATTCATTTTGGAAGCAAGTGGCATTGTTACTGAAACTTAAGTTTTCAGGGTGAAGCCTTGGAAGTTGAGCGACAAGGCACTCTGGTCTTTCATAGCATGAATGTTGATGTCTTTTCGCGATCAGCTTTGGACAAGCGCGACCTTGTTTGTTTGTAGCATAGATTTATCGAGGTGTCTCTGGATTCTTGGTGTGTGCGCATGTGCTCTTTGAATGTGATTGGGTTTATTCGCAATGCACTACTTTGAATGAGCGTAGTGTGTGTAGTGTGTGAATGTGCATTATTTTAGTGACAAAACGATTTTTATTTACAATTTCCAGTATCTTTGGTTTCGTGATAGTGCAGTTGTCAAACACTTCATGTTTCTGTGTCTCTGTGGTAAGTCGATGTGACGGGTCATCGTTGGTAGGTTGGTTTGATGGATCCGTTTTGAAAGCAAGTTACTGGTAATTCCGCAGCTCAGCACTTTGATATTTGAAATGCATGCATGTTATGGTGTGAGCTTCAGGTCAACCTCATGCTGTGGCCGTGAGAGAGCTGTATACACCCGTGAAGCGTTATGGGTTTTGCGACTCTGGGTTTCCAATGTTTGACATTAGTAATTAGTAAGAAATGGTAATGGATGTATTTCGCGAAGACATAGCAAATCCTTGTCGAATTATCCAGATTGTGTGGATGTGATACAAAGAGTTGCAATCATCACAGCGATAACATTCACATTTGAAGTCAGCAAGGCTAAGTGCTGGTGCAGGTTGCAGTAGGTTAGTTACAACATGGTTTGGATGATCCGAAGATCAAAAAACACATCTAAAATCATTTTCCTTTTTCCGCCAGAAAAGAGAAATCAAAGAAATAAACAGCAATAAACAGAAATGAAACGAAATAAATAGAAATAAAAGGAAATAAAAAGAAATAAATATACATAAAAAGAAATAAATACACATAAAAAGAAATAAATATACGTAACAATAAATAAATATACATATAAAAAGACAGAATTCAAATGATTTTACTTCATCCTGTTTAATCTGTTCAGGCTGAAGCCTATCAAAACTGATTTTGTTTTGACAACGCTGGCCACGCGGCCTGACAACAACTGACAAAAAAGGCACATCAGGAACCAATGTCGTTTTTGGTCACGTGTAGCAACGTACCTCATCGATCCATCAAAACAAAATCAGCAGGATTCAGCACGGGTAGGGACAAGCAATGCAAAGGCCGGACCAAACATGGACGCAAGGAAAGGATTCATTCCTGCCATCATTGGGTCGACTTCTCGATGACGCTTGGCCGTACGGGCCAAAGGACCATTGGCTGAAGACGACATGGGTGAGCGCTGAAATTGAAATGGAAGCGCACAACTGACCACACAAGACTCTGGGATCCAAAAAGAATCGTAGAGTTTTCCGCAGCACATCGCGCCAGGAACACCCTTGCAGCACGTATATGATTTCCTTTTTTTCTCAAAAAATAGACAATTTTTCATTATTTTCCATATTTTTACATTTTTTAGTCAAAAAACAGCAAAAAAAGAAAAAAACAAAAAAACATGACCTCAAGAAACATTTTCTCAAGTGAAAACCAAATGCAGGTTATCCCACTGGCGCGAAACCCAAGAGAAAAAAAATAAAAGAAAGAAAACAAGAAAAACAAGAAAAACAATTAAAAAAAAGAAAAAAACAAAGAAAAAAGCAAATAAGAAAAAAGAAAAAAATACACAAAAAGAAAAGAGAAAACATGTCACCGTTTTGCAATTTGTACCCAATCACCGCTACGCAATTCATATTTGGAAAATTGTTCCCAGAAATCATGCTGTAATTAGTGATCTGTAGTGACATTTTTTCACATGTTTATGGTTCATGTCGTTTTTACATGTTTATGGTTCATGTTGAACGGTCTGGAACGGTTTTGCCATTTTTTGTAGGCTTTCTACTCAATCACCGCTACCCAGTTCATGTTTGGAATATGGTGGCCTCCAATGTTCACATATCTTTATCATTCGTTGTGTGTTTTATTGTTTTCATTCACGGTTTATTTCATTTCCTGGTGCCTTTTAATGTGTTATTTATTTTCATTTATTTCCATTTATTTTCATTTATTCTCATTTCCTGCTTTTTTTCTCTCTTGAAAAAGCCCAGTACCAATCTAAACCACTAGCAGGTCGACCCACGACTTAGTTCTGCTGATGAAGAGCGTCACAAATGAAACGAAGAGTGGGCGGGGAGATTACACTGATCTTCTGTCATGTTGCTTTTGCATGTGCAGTCTGTTGTGTAGATAGCACAATGCTCCCACCAGATATGTTGATATCATTGAACTTTCGGGTAAGGCAAGAGGTGAAGAAAGTTGGAGGAGTGGGTATGAAATGCAAAGAGTTTCGAGGAGCTGTCGTTGCGTAATTGTTTTGCATTATATGTATGACAGGCAATGTTGTGGTCACGAGGCACCGCTGCTTGTCTTTGAAACATATTTGCTTCTTCGCATAATGATAGATTGATATTTTTTTGGACGTCTCGTATCACTATGATCTCAAATTTGATACGCCTCACTGGTTGATCTACCATGGTTGCCGGGCTTGGTCGTCACTCTTCACTGATAAGATGCAGTCACGACAGTGGTGCCGTGTAGGGATTGCGGTGCTTTGCTTTGTATCTACACTATGGCACTTGATGTGTCACGGACGAAGTTCCAGCCTTTTTCTGTCGAACTGTCAGGCTTCTGATCGCAAGCGCAAGATTTTGAGTGACCGCTTCGGTGATTGCGGCGCAGGCTGGTTGTGGCATGTCTGGAACAGCCACTGATAGATTTCCTTTTCCACCTCCGACCAGGAAAACGATACGCGTCTTCATCTGAAGTCGGTGTGACAACGGGTGAAGACGTGGTGTTGTTAGCGCCTTATCGAACCGAAGCCGAGTGTACTGACCAAGTGTTTACGGTTTTGGTGCGTTGTAATGAGGCTAGGGCTTGTCCTACTTGCCTGGGAAGGTGCTTCGTTTCCACTCATGTCCACATAGATGGTCAGCCCATACTGCAGTGCAAACATCCGTGTTTGCGAGTAGGACACAGAAACGTCCACTGCGTTGTAGTTTGTGACTGTTGTCGTCAGGCTACATGCTACAACTTCACGACTTCCAGTTTGCATGCGATGGCAACCACGCAGGACGCCATTCGTGTTATTAGCATATGAATCTGTTTTAACGATGCACTTTTTTGGACACTCGCTAACGGACTGTATTTTTCGAACACGGTGCATTTTGGACATAAGTCGTTGCTACTGATACACATAGATGCAGATAACAGTCCATCACTGTGCTACTTACAATCACATAGACTCATCATTGCATATTTTTTTATCATAGATCACCTGCGCCAGGCACTATGAAGTGCATGTGGTGAATCTTGCACTTGTGCTGCCTCGGTTCAAAAAGAACTTGTGTGCTGCATGTCTTCTGAAGAAGCTCGCATAAAGCTCAGCTACAAAAGGCTTGACATGTGGGGTTATCCGGTCCTTCTATTTTAATGCCTTTTATAGTTACTTATAGCCATGTTGATCAAGTCCATTGAGTACCAGTACCCCCCAATCATGTTTCAAAGATTTGTAGCCATACAGATCTAGATTGTTGTGGATTTGGGATTAGATGGGTTTTCCACTTGTCCCACCCAAATTCAAACTTTTGCAAGGGCGACAGCCCAAACTCGTTTTTTTCCCGGCAAAAAATGTGGATGGATCAGCTTTACGATGAAGTAGCATATATTTTTGGCATCCATAAGCAACCAATATAGCTGGTTCACCAGCCATGGCCAGGGGTCTTCCTGCCAGGCGCGCGCGGCCAATCTGACGGCGAGAGTCTGTGTGACTCAGCCACGGCGTGTGGCAGCGCTGAATTTGGCCAACCGAGTGGCGACAGAGCTAGGTGGCGTCGGGTATGTCCACTTTGGTTGATGAGTTATGAAGAAGGTTTGCCCAGGATTCTTTCTAACCAAGGCGAGGGGTATCAAAATACCATATTACTTTGCTGCATGTTATTTTTTGTTGGATATCCAACTATAGCCATGCTGTTGTGGAGTTTCCTTCTGTTTTTTTCGGATGACTTCACTTGCATCTTTGGGCACCCCTCACTGCATTTCTTTCTTCTTGCTAATGCTGTGGGGGAAGAAGAACCGCAGTGATCAGCCATTTGCGGGTCATTCATCGCTAGGGATATATCCAATTTATCTTATATATATATATAATAACGTTTTGGAAAGGCTATTGCTGGCTCTCAATATTTTCATCATTCTTTGTGAAGGGTTTTACCCCCCTAAGATCGTCAGATGATCACTTGCAGGTGAATATGTGGGGGAGTCTGTTGGCTATCGGATTGGTGGCATCTTGGCTGCCATATTTTGGCGCGGAGGGGACACACCAAAGAATAGATGGGTAAGATTCGCCATTGTAATCGTGGCTGTTGGCAGGTAAGATACGCCCTTAATCAAGCGAAACCATGTTATTGGGGGGACAATGCAAGGGGGATCAAGGGGGTGTCGGTTGAATCATCATGATATAGATATTACATATGGTGGTTGATCTAAAGACCCTTGTAAAGAATTGTGATTGCGAAGACTGTTCGTGTTCTATCTGAACCCTCGCGAAAGTTATCTTTCGAGTTCGTGAAAGTGAACATTTATTGTGAATTATCATTTGAAAGTTATAGGGATGTTTTCGCGAAACTTCCGAAAGTTCCGCGAAGGAGCGGGCAAAGTGAAAGTGCATTTTGAAGGGGGTTGCCCACTAAGCCTTACAAACGGACTCAGCTATATTTTCCACCAGGCAACAATCTGCCCTGAGAAGGGATTCTGTGATGCTAGCTGGATGTTGACAAGGCTACCGTGAAATACTCTAAGATAATTTGGCAGGTAATGACTGAGTCTTCATAAGAAGCATGGTTGCCCTACATTGGTCCCACGAAAGTTAGCATGGAGTTCGCAAAAGTTTCGCGAAAGTAAAACTTTGAAAGAATCGCCGTTTCCGTATGAAAGAATTGATGTAGATTAATCACCATGCAGAATCCCTTCCCCGACTGTTAAATATAACACCCCATTTGGCCCCTCAAAAAAAGAGATCCAGCACTAAACCAGGGTTTCTCAAGGGTGCAAGGGGAAAGGGATTCTATGTATGACCAGAGATTTTGGTCGCTGAGGAGAGAGCAAACCCGGCTACAACATCGACTTCTGCACAGTTGGATACACACTTCAACTCTTTCTCAATTCTCCGGAGGACGCCGACAAAGTTTGGACCAACCCATTTTTCACATAGGGCGTGTTGGTCAAAGTGCTTGACGCTTGCAACCCATTCAGCACCCCGGTGATTGATGACTTCCATCGGGTTATGGGTCCAGATGGTTTCAGTTTGGGCCACGTGCTGTTTCACCTTAATCAGGGAGACGAGTCTGGATATTTTTGGGATGATGTCAATCCAAAGTTTTCTTCCCCTGTGAGCCAACCAGTAGGTCAATAGGTTTGGGACTGACGAACTGCTGTCAGGAGTTTGGCAACTACACCCACATTATTTTGGACGAGGTGCACGAGAGAAGTGCCCACCTTGGCATCTCCAGAACGTATGACACGACAATGGAAAGGACAGCAAAAAGGTGATGTTTGCAAAGGAAATTGAAGGCGACCTGCCAGACCTGCCCCTGTTTAGAGACCTCAAACCCCAGGAGTTCTTTCCCAACTGACATGATTTTTGGATGTAGTTCACGGTTGATTTGACACTTTTTCCTCTAGGTTTTGCCATTCCATCAATGCTCACTTTGTCCAGAAATTGACCACAACTGAGTACACTTTTCGAAGTTCTCTCTTCACCGCTTGCTGTTTGAGCAGCCTTACGTTGGACCCCCCCACGGGCGCCAAAGTCGCGCGCCCGCTTTCCGCTGTTTCGATGTCGGCGTCTGGGAGCAGCGCCTCCAGCGATGCCGGGGAGGGACCGCCGGAGCTGGTGCTGGCGAACACGGCGCCCTTCGAAAAGATTTCCTGCTTGGGAGAAGGTTCGACAAAGAAATGGCTGATGTTTATTGGATACCCTCAACACATGGCTGGGAAATCCCCAAACTAAATGGACATTTGGGAGACACTATGTGGTATATAACGGTATATACATGATTTTCACGCACGATATTTGGACAAAAATGAGTTGAAGTACATTGAAACACGTGGTACTCCTAAATTTGCCATCCTAGGGACATTGGCAGGCCAATATCATGGAACTATAGCGGATGGCTTCGATTGGCTGTTTGCTCATCCCAGTGGCAATTCCCCGAAATGTATGACAACCTTCCCCAAGTTCGTTACAATATACCCCCTGGTTATTTATCAATATTTAACATAGCCATGAAAAATGGTCCATTTATATAGATGATGATTTATTCTTGTTGACCTATTAAAAACAGTGTTTTTTCCACAGCTACATCAAATTACCAGTGGGTAAGTTTAACCTCAACCGTCAACCGTCACCTCGACCTCAGGTGCTTTTGGAGCTGTGTGGTTGGCACGTCGCAAGAGCGATGACACCTATGTGGCGCTGAAGGACTAAAAATATGATGTCGTTTGTTGGTCAAACATCACCATCAACGGTTCAGCGTGTTAAAACCCATGTCAAAGCTCCCTTTTTCCAAGGCTCATTCCCAAAAATCCTCATCAACATCTCCTTGTTTCGTTGTTGAACCATGTACGACCCCAAACTCATCATGAAAAGTTGAGGTTTAATCAGTGTTTTCAAGATTTATAGTACCCAAAAAGATAGAACCAATCTTTCCAGGCTGGTAGTTCGATGATGTGTTTCTCCAACAAATTGTCGGATTTCCAGCTTTTCCCATTGGTTTTGGGGTGTTGCTACACTCCCCATCCAATTTTCGGGGAGGAGGTGGGGCGCCACGTGGCCGATCCCCTGCTCCTCTCGTTGGAGCGCGACGTGTTGCGGGAGATCTCCCAGAGGCGTGCGGAGAGGCCCCGGGAGGTGAGCCCGGCGCTGGCTGGCTTGGTGACGACCTTTGTGACGCCTTTTGCAGCTGGGTTTGGTTTAGTATATTTTAGTATGGTTAATAATGGTTAATGATGGTTAATAATGGTTAATAATCTAATACCAGTAAATCCTGCACATATGATTGGTGTTAATTACCAGTAGTACCGCGCAAGGCGGTGGCAGAAGTTTCAAAGATAGGACACTATAGGAGAGGTGAGTTGTTGTGATGCATGGATGGCAGAGCGAACCCACTGATGGACGGAAAGGTGGTTGGAGTTGTGTTTTTTGGAATGGTTGCAATGGGTTGCAGTGGTCACCTCACCCACAACTGCTGGATGTAGTGTGTTGTAGTGCAGCTGTAGTTGTAGTTGTAGCGTAGTGGAGGTGTAGTTGCAGTGTAGTGTAACTAGTGTAGTGTAGTTGTAGTTGTATCTGTAGTTGCAGTTAGTGTAGTGTAGCGTAGCGTAGTGTAGTGTAATTAGTGTAGTGTACTGCAATTAGCGTAGTGTAGTGTAATTGGTGTAGTGTAGTGTCATTAGCGTACTGTAGCGTAGTATATTTGTATTTGTGTTGTAGTTGCAGTTGCAGATGTAGATGTCTATCTATCTAATCTATCTATCTATCTTTCTTTCTTTCTATCTATCTATCTATCCATCCATCTATCTATCTATCTATCTCTCTCTCTCTCTCTATATCTCTCTATATCTATCTATATATCTATCTATATATCTATCTATATATCTATCTATATATCTATCTATCTATCTACCTATCTATCTACGTATCGATCGATCGATCTATCTATCTATCGATCTATCTATCGATCGATCTATCTATCTATCTATCTACCTATCGATCGATCGATCTATCTATCTATCGATCTATCTATCTATCGATCGATCGATCTATCTATCTATCTGTCTGCCTGTCAGTCTGTCTATCTGTCTATCTGCAAGTTTGAAAACGAAGCTATTCTGCGAGACGTCCTCAATTTTTGAACTTGACAACATAAAAAACGAAGCTATTCTGCTAGGCTTCCTCAATTTTTGACCTTGGCAACACAAAAAACGCAGCAATTCTGCGAGACTTCCTCAATTTTCCAAGTTGACGACATCAAAAACGAAGCAATTGTGCGAGACTTCCTTCAAAAATTGAAAATTGAGAGCAAAGGTGAGGCCTCGTGCCAATGCGTTTTGCGATTTTTCCATTCCATCTGTTTAAAGTGCTGCGCCCGCCACGAAAAAGTGAGGCCAGGTCATACGAAGTGCTGCACCTATCACGCAAAATCATCTTAGCAAACCTGAAGATCTGACGCTCAACATCTCTGGTGAACATGTCTCCTGTATTAACGCCTGCCACGCGAAATGCATCTTTGCAGATCCTCTTCAAATGTCCCACGCCTGCCAACGTTTTTGAAACTGCTACAAAACCGTCACGTTTTGCTCACTTTTGGCAAGGTGCCGAATATATCTTGCGCATGCCACGCAAAACCACATCCTAACTTCCGAAAGTGGTCCGAGACCATCAGTCTTTTGCACTTTTCACTTCCAAATGTGCTTCGCGCCACAACGGTGTGCACTTTTTCGACATGTCAACTTCCAAAAGCGGTCCGACACTGAGGTTTTTTGTGCATTTTGACTTCGAAATGTGCTTTGCGCATCCCCCTTACCATTTCCACTACTAAAAGGGTGAACACGTGCTTGATACCATCTCCTGTTTCGTGGAGAATTCAAGCAAAAAAAATGGACCCGCGCACCAGTTTTTGTAGTAAAAGGGCGTGCACTGCATCTTGTAGCGGCGTTCCATTTGGCACTCAAAAATCGGAAATGCATTTTGTAGTGATTTATTTTGGGATGCGTTGTGCCGTACCGGAAACCTCAGGCCATTTTTGGCTCTTGACCCACGATCATTTCGTGGTAAGATGAGCCCCAAAAAATTCGAAAAAGGCCTTTAAGAAGGAAAAATGGGACAGATTTGGTTTCAAAACCAATCAATTGAATTTGAAGTTGTGCGCTTAGATCGTTTTTGTTGCCCCATAGCTCTGACAATTGCAGTTCAAAATCTCTGCGCCGTGCTTTTGTCACACCTATTTTGGCGGTTACATGCGATTTCCAATCATAATCTAAACGTATCCCATTCTACTAGATTCCTGCTCTTTTTGTCCAATAGTCAAATGTCACCTAAGTTCAAAGAATCCATGCTCAGAGTTTCTTTCGCCCACAAAGCACAGATTCGATGCGTGATGGATGTCCTAGTTTCTGGATGACTTTTGTCACGCTCTGCATTTTGTAGTGACACACGCGTGCACAACTTTTTGTAGAACCCACCGCGTCCCCCTCCAGATAAGCCCCAAAAAGTTCGAAAAAACATGCTTTTTATGTGGAGACTTTAAGAAGGAAAAATGGGACAGATTTGGTTTCAAAACCAAATCAATTGAATTTGAAATTGTGCGCTTAGATCGTTTTTGTTGCCCCATAGCTCTGACGATTGCAGTTCAAAATCTCTGCGCCGTGCTTTTGTCACACCTATTTTGGCGATTACATGCGATTACCAATCATAATCTAAACGTATCCCATTCTACTAGATTCCTGCTCTTTTTGTCCAATAGTCAAGTTTCACCCAAGTTTAAAGAATTCATGCTCAGAGCACCCACAAAGAACAGATTCGATGCGTGATGTCCTAGTTTCTGGATGATTTTTGTCATGTACGGCATTTTGTAGTAACACACGCGTGCACAACTTTTTGTAGAACCTACTGCGTCCCCCTCCAGATAAGCCCCAAAAAGTTCGAAAAAACATGCTTTTTATTTAGAGACTTTAAGAAGGAAAAAGGGACAGATTTGGTTTCAAAACCAACCAATTGAATTTGAAGTTGTGCGCTTGGATCGTTTTTGTTGCCCCATAGCTCTGACGATTGCAGTTCAAAATCTCTGCGCCGTGCTTTTGTCACACCTATTTTGGCAATTACATGCCATTACCAATCATAATCTAAACGTATCCCATTCTACTAGATTCCTGCTCTTTTTGTCCAATAGTTAAGTTTCACCTAAGTTCAAAGAATCCATGCTCAGAGTTTCTTTCGCCCACAAAGCACAGATTCGATGTGTGATGTCCTAGTTTCCGGCTGATTTTTGTCATGCACGGCATTTTTTGTAGTAGCACACACGTGCACAACTTTTTGTAGAACCCACCGCGTCCCCTTCCAGATAAGCCTCAAAAAGTTCGAAAAACATGCTTTTTATGTGGAGACTTTAAGAAGGAAAAATGGGACAGATTTGTTTCAAAACCAATCAATTGAATTTGAAATTGTGCGCTTAGATCGTTTTTGTTGCCCCATAGCTCTGACAATTGCAGTTCAAAATCTCTGCGCCGTGCTTTTGTCACACCTATTTTGGCGGTTACATGCGATTTCCAATCATAATCTAAACGTATCCCATTCTACTAGATTCCTGCTCTTTTTGTCCAATAGTCAAATGTCACCTAAGTTCAAAGAATCCATGTTCAGAGCTTCTTTCACCCACAAAGCACAGATTCGATGCTTGATGTCCTAGTTTCTGGATGATTTTTGTCATGCACGGCATTTTGTAGTAACACACGCGTGCACAACTTTTTGTAGAACCCACCGCGTCCCCCTCCAGATAAGCCCCAAAAAGTTCGAAAAAACATGCTTTTTATGTAAATACTTTAAGAAGGAAAAATGGGACAGATTTGTTTTCAAAACCAATCAATTAAATTTGAAGTTGTGCGCTTAGATCGTTTTTGTTGCCCCATAGCTCTGAGCATCGTAGTAGAAAACCTCTTGAAACGTCAATTCTTGGAATTCGATGGAAATCCCAAGGTTGTACTTACTTGTGCTCGGCAAATGCTATGACCTGGGCCCGGAAAGTGAACCAAACATTTAGAGTGAAATTGCCAGAAACCATTTAGTAGCGAATCATGATTTTTCACTGCAACCCGTTTTCACTACAAAATGGGTACGCAAAGTCATTTTGTTTTGACCGACATTGGCTTTTGATCCACCATAAAAACCCCCAACCCATTTTGTAGCAAGGGGGGTTGGTTAAGATTCAAGCGTCATTTTGTAGTATAAGGCTGTGTTTGTAAACGGTTTAGTGGGCACAACTTCTCTGCAGAATGCACACAGGGATCTTTGCGCCACAACCGCGTGCACTTTTTCGACATCCCAACTTCCAAAAGTGGTCCGAGCATGAGATGTTTTGTACATTTTGACTTCGAAATGTGCTTCGGGCCACAACGGCGTGCAGTTTTTCATCTCTCATCTGGCCAGATGGCTCCGCACCCGCCGCTTTAGCGAGCCTACTTTTCGACCCTCCGGAGCCACAAACCATTGGAAAAACATAGTGGATCCCGACTTTTCTACCTTTTCGCGCACCTGCATCTTCTTTCTTCTGACTCTTTCTCTTCTCTGATCTTCTCTGTTCTGTTCTGTTCTTCTCTTCTCGTCTCGTCTCTTCTCTTCTCTTCCTCTCCTCGCCTCTCCTCTCCTCTCCTCTCCGCTCCTCTCCTCTTCTCTTCTCTTCTCTTCTCATCTCATCTCTGACTCTTCCCACCTCTGGTTTTCCATCTGTCCGTATTGTCGGAAGTTTGACGTCTAAACTTCCTTCGGTCATGATCCTTCTTAGTATTCTTCATATTCTTAGTCTTATTTTCCCATGTCTTAAATTATTATCGTTATTGATTGCAAGGAGAAATATCGTATCGTTATTATTATTATCATTGTTCTACGCATTATCATCGTTATTTGAATTGCAATTATAACTGTAATTTAATAATAACCATACTAACAATGATAACATTAATATCAAAAAATGCACTAATAATAATAATCATTTTATATTAGGTGTTTATTTATCACTATTATTGTTGTTATTATCACTACTATTCATTCTTACCGTTGGCAACCCCTAAAAATATAGAAGAATAAAATAGTAGTGACAAAATTTGGGGTTGAATCACCGCGATCTACGTCATTGTTTGGGCCCTTCTATTTTTCACCCCCTGCTGATTCTTGGGCATTTTTTGATGATGCCGTGTTGTCTGTTTTTTTTTGTGAATCCCACTCCCCCCAGTATATACTAGACCATCGTTTTGTTTATATAGGGGTTATTTCATACCTTTTCCCAGTTGGTTGACCAATAAAGGGGTTCATCCCCCTTTACAACAATTGGGTAAGTCATGATGAATGCGAGACCGGTCCCTTTACTTTTAGGGCTGGTTGTTGCAGATTTTTTTGGGCATTTTTTTAAAATGGGTTTGGAAAACATGTGTTTGTGGTGAGTAGTTTGTGGTGAGTATTTGCCAGAAATAGATGGGGATAGAACCAACGGAAAATTGATCAACACGATGATGTGGTAATTCATTCATGATTGGACAATGGTTCCACTGACTGACTCATATTTAGTTGGAGTGTTTGCTTCATTCCCTAAACCTGGGACCCTGGTGACTTGAATGTGTTTCTGTTTTTTTGAAACCACCAGGCAGTTTGCATGGCCATGGATCTGGTAGAAGGCACCCACTTGCAAGATCACCTGCGTGCAGAGGGGCCCATGAAGGAGCCGCGTGTCCAGTGGTATACCGCCGAACTTGCGGGTGCCTTAGACTGGTTGCACAAGGCCGGCTGGCTCTATCGAGACGTGAAACTCACCAATGTGATGTTATCCCTGTCCGAGGGCTCCTATGGTCGCATCAAACTCATCGACTTCGGCTTCGCCCTCCATGCACTGTGGAGTGACAAAGCCCTCGGGACACTGCAAACCATGGCTCCTGAGGTGATCCTATGCGCCAATGCGCAATGGTCCAAGGATCTGGGCCTGGAATGGTGGGCATCCCAGGGCTACGGCCCCACTGCGGATTTGTGGTCCCTGGGCGCGGTGCTGTTCGAACTGCTGACGGGCGACGCCCCTTTCGGACGCCCTGACGACATCTTGTTGGAAGGTTTCAAGACGCTGCAGGCGCAGATGAATGGCCTCAGGTGGCCTGACAGTGTCAGTGAGGATGCCAAAGGTGCAGCATCCTACTTGTGTCAGATGGATCCCAAGAATCGACCTCAAAACTTGGAAGACCTCAAGCAGTTACCCTTTTTTTCGCTAGATTGGACCGCCCTGCAGTCGCCCGCCACCTCCGGACCCAGCTTCGAGCCTCGCGGCTTCACCATCGCCTCAGCCAGTGAGGAGCGACTGCGGCCCCGGCGGGGGGCGGCCATGCCGCCGTCGCTGGAGGGGCCGGATCCCTTCGAGAACTTCTGACGTTGGACGCACGGGAAAAAGAGAAGTGAAGCCTGCTGGGATGGAGGAGATCTCCTGGGATTTTAAGCCATTTGTAACTTGAGATAAACCGGGTTTGGGGATGAGGATCATTTTGAGATGTTACGTGATTAAGCTCCACTTTGGGGTGTGTGCCTTGCTTGAGACAAAACCCCAACTAATTTGACGAAGATCAGCTTTTCTATCTTTTTGCGGGTTTACTACCTATGCATAAGATGTGATCTGTAAATGTCATAATATCATATATATATATACAATTATATACATACATATGTACTAATGTATAGTCATTTATATTTATTGAATACTAATATATAGATGGATATTCATATGCCAATATATAAATATATATACACATACAGAAATATATATATATGTATGTAGGTATGTAATGTAATGTAATGTAATGCAATGCAATGCAATGCAATGCAATGCAATGCAATGGAATGTAATGTAATGTATGTATGTATGCATGCATGCATGCATGCATGCATGCATGCATGTATGTATGTATGTATGTATGTCTCGTGTTCCGTGTTCCTACCCTCCATGGCATGGGTCCCCAGGTAGCACCCCCTTGCCTTTTATTTGCAAGTTATTGGCAGCATTTCTCAGCTGACTACCAGCCTCGCATTTACTAGGTACATGCTACCTTTTAGACGACCTACGTAACACACATACTCCCTCAAAGTACCTACGTGCTACCTATAGTCATATATACATGTGCTATGTATCAATCTACTTCCTATTTACTACCTGTGTACTCTCACAACACTACATGTGTTTAACATATACCGCACCTACCATACATTCCAACGATGCCATGCATACCATACATACCACACGAACTTTGACCATAGATACCATACCTATCATACCTATCATACATACCACACATACCACACATATGAAACATAGTTACCACACCTACCATACATACAATACCAAATATACATGCCATACATACCATACATACCATACCTACCTTACATAGCAAACATTCCACACCCCATCATAGTAACCATACATACCATACAGACCATACACACTGTCATATCAAACATACCACACCGAACAGACTTACATACCATACCTACCATCCATACAATACCAACCTTTCATGCCAGACATACCATACCTACCATACATACCATACATTCCAAACATGCCATACCAGACCGACCATACACACCATACATACCGTCATATCAAACATACCATACCCAACATACATACATACCACTCCCTACCATCCATACAATACCAGCCATACATGCCTTACATACCATACCTGCCATACATACCAAACATGCCATACATTCCAAACATACCATACATACCATACCAACCATACATGCCAAACATACCATACATATCGAACATACCCTGCATGAGATAATTACATACCATACTCACCATACCCACCATGCCATATATATATATATTGTCATGCATACACTACACCCCCCTGCACCGGGGACAGTACCACACCCCCACCACACTTTCATGACATCACGGGGGGGGAGGTGGACAGTACTATGGCTGACCCATGACCATGGCTGAGGATTTTTTCACCCAGAGCCGCTGAGGTGCCGAGAGTGACATGCTTTGCCTGGTGGTCCGACTGCTGGCGCAGCACCGCTTCAAGCATATGCGCCTGGTGGTGATGCCGGGGGCCCTAGCCTAGAAATTTAAAGACTTGCAGGACCACAGATTTTAGTCTATTTGTTAATATTAGCATATATTAGCCATCCAATGATTAGGGTACCCAATTTTGGCCCATATGGGTAAGGTATAATTTGGAGATACCTTCCTGTAAACTAACGCAGATGTGGAAACCCCACCAGTTGTTGCAGTTGTAGATCATTTTCCATGGGTTTCACCATGGTAATTGGTGGTTATACATGGTATACTGAAAACCAACCATCAAATGAGGACATAATTTCGCATGGATGTGCTTGTCGTGATTACTGCCAAACCCTGTCCCAAAGAAAGTGTATTTCACTGTTTTTCCCAGAGATCTATGCACAGCAAGTCTCCAAAGTGTCATTGAATTCCACATTCCCATATACCAAGAGTGGTCCACACCCCCACTTGACTGGCAGTTTAGATCCCCCTACTTCGGGTGCAGCTCCAGTTATGTAGTACTGTAACTGGTTTATTTCACCATCGTTGTAGGGTTTATATCCCAACTTCTGTGGGTTGGAAAGCCATGGCTATTCCAATAAATAGCCCCAACTGCGTCCCTCACCATCCTTTCATCGAGGTCTGCCACGCTGCAATCCGATCTCTTCGCACGATACTTCGCCCCCATTTCTCCCGAACATCCCGTGGGGCACGTCTTTGTGGGTGCGCGCTGCTTCACGGTGACGCAACATTTTCTGGAGGATGCGATGGATGGATCGTGACGGAGGGGCTCAAGGTGGTTTTGATTTTCCCAGAGGATCAACATGGATCAACCAGTTTGGGGAATCTATGGGAAATCTTGGCTGTCGAATTTGGTTGGGTTCCCTTCAGCAACTCCAAGATATTTGTCGTATTGAAATTCTGAGCCACATTCTGGGGCTAACAACCATGGGGACACAAGCAGCAGTTAGTATTACTGTAGTTCAAATGACCAGAAAAAAAAAGGGTTTTCCAAGTCGAAGCAATTAAGGTGGATACGACATGATACGACGAAACACCATGCCAGCAGTAACTGAGATCAAATCAGCAAGTGGATTGACATGGATTGCCTGCTTCTCAGATGAGAGAGCTGCGTGGCTGGTAACATGGCACTGGGAGTAATCTAAAATAATTAACATTAATTAACATTAATTTTCCCTAGATTTCCAATGGGCTATTTTCTGTTTGGGTGCAGGTCAATGTTGGATATCACATGATATCACCAAATTCCAAGTCAGGAAGGTGATCAAACCCTCCCGAGGGTTCAACAACCGAGTTTTACCCTTTGGGATGACCCGATGGCCCGGGTGGTTCCTGGGGATTTTCGATGATTTTCGAGCAACTCCCAGCCGAAAAGTTCGAACACTGGAAGCCTTTTTGAGAGGAAACATGATGGAACTACCTGGAAACACATTTCTATCTTTTTGAGGATTACTCTGCCATGTTTTCAGAGAAACCCAAAAGGGGTTAGATCAGCCAGGAACTCCCAAAAGCCTTGGGAAAGAAGCTGCGCTGCGAAAGTTTGATTATGAGCAAAATCAAGGTGCGAAGTTTTGGACATTTCTCAGCACTTGGGGATTGGTCCAACTTTTTCATCTCCGGCCCATTTTTCCACCGAGAAACCAGATTTGGGACAGAATCGCGGCGTTTGATCGGTATGGGATGACTGGATTACTGGCGATTTTGGATCAAAACCTGGCATTTCTCGTAACCATGAACATTTACAAGGTGGTGCCCCCCAGTTATAAGTTGGTTTATAAGCCCATTAACTATAGATATATCACCTATAAACCATAGTTATTGGAGTTATAAACCAACTTAGCTATCTTGGGGGCACCACCTTGTATGAGCTATTTGGGTGTGAACGGAAGGGTGCCTCTTGGCGTTGATCGTACTCTGAACGGGGTCATGGTCTGCTGGGAAAAATGTGTACTTCGACGGTTCAAACCAGGAAAAACTCAAGTACTGCAAGGATTGAATAGGCCAATAGGCGTCCCTTTGGTGATTCATTTATCGGGCCATCACTTCATACTTATTTGCCTGCTGATTCAATGATTTTACTTTCGAATTTTTGATTAGGATGAATCACGGTTTCTTGATATCTCCACTGCTGAATACAGTAATCACATTCCAAGCTTTACCAGCAAACATATCCTGGTTGTTTGTCGTCTCATTTGACACCTGTTGCATCCTGCTTCGCAAGGGTCCCAAGGGTCCCCCAAGGGTCCCCCAATGGTCCCCCAAGGGTCCCCCAGGGGTCGTACAAGGGTCCCACAAGGGTCCCCCAAGGGTCCCACAAGGGTCCCACAAGGGTCCCACAAGGTTCCCACAAGGGTCCCACAAGGGTCCCACAAGGGTCCCACGAGGGTCCCACAAGGGTCCCATCCCCAAGCGTCCCCAAGCGTCCCCAAGCATCCCCAAGGGTCCCCCAAGCGTCCCCAAGGGTCACCAAGGGTCCCCAAGGGTCCCCAAGAGTTCCAAGGGTCTCCAAGGGTCCAACCGTCCCCAAGGGTCTCCAAGGGTCCCAAGGGCCCCAAGGGGCCCCAAGGGGCCCCAAGGGGCCCAAGGCGCCCCTAAGGGGCCCAATGGGTTCCCAGGGGCCCAAAGGGGCGCCAGGGGCCCGAAGGGGCGCCAGGGGTTTGAGGGGATCCAAGGGGCCCCAACAAGGGCCCCAAGGGTAGGGTCCCAGGAATTCCAGGGGTCCCAAGAATCCATGGTTTCAACAAACCTGTTCAGCAGGACGTTTTTGGAGCCGTCAAGCCGAAGAAGATCGACCAGAAACACTGCCATGCTCCCGGAGAGCACTGCAAGGGTGGCCACTTTTCATCCCCGCGAGCAGAATCCAAGCTGTCACCGAGGTGACAAGCTGCACAAGATCATCCTAGAGCTTTTGGAGATCATTGCTGTGAAAGCCTGAACCTTTGAGAATTGTTGACTTCATGTCCAGGTCAAGCGAGTCAAGCAGTTTGTAGTGCTCATTACGACAAGAAATGTGCACCCTCAGCCAAAGGGGGCATCTCGAGTTACCCCTGACCCTGAAATTGAGATGGAACTCCATCAACCGGGTTTGAGTTCGCTGATTTTGGGTTCGGCAAAATTCGCTGTGTACCTACCCCATTCCCATGCCCCATTCTCTCTGTCGCAGTCTGTGAACTCCTGATTTTTATTGCTTGATTCCACATTTTTCTTTCGCAAATTCCCTTCCGATCTCCCAAAATCGTCTTTGGTTCAGCTGAGGGCAGCACCATTTTAGTCTTCCTTCCCGGCATTGCGGAAATCTCCTCACTATGGCAGGCTGGATGGGAGCCCCTGCTGGTATTTTCTTCTTTTTCTAATGAATAGTTTTGTCGATTATCATTTATCACGACAAATTATGGAAATTATCCTAGTTAACAAAGCAGGGCTGGGATGACTTGTTCGAAACAAATGCACACCATTTTCCATTATCACCATCAAATAAAGGGGGCAATCCCCTTGTCAGCAAATCTATCTTAAACCGATCCAATGAGATATGGTTGCGATCCAGGAATCATCGAAACAGATGGGTTTTTCTAAACATGGGATATATACCCCAAAAATCCGATGGTTTATCGTAATTTTCCCTATTCAAATGGTCATAAAGTGAGGGGGTTATATGATGTTATATGGTAACACTCTATTTTCAGACACACCCAACTATCATATTGTTGGTTGTATCCCATTCTATCCCATTACATTCCCAGTCAATCCCCAATGTGTAGATGATCTTCCCAACAAATATCCCATCAGATCCCACCTTCCAGGAAGCAAAAGAGATGGACGGCAACGGCTTTCGCATTTTTCCCCTGCACTCAATGGTGCCCCGCGAAGAACAGGACCGGGGTGAGCCATTCATTGGGTTGAGCTTTGATGGTCCTGTCGGATAAAACCACACTATTTCTGCCTAGATCCATGAGTTCCTTTTTTTTGTCAACCGTCCATCAGTGAATCAGGAGCTTGTTTTCCAAGAGCCCGACCCTGACGTGACCAATGTACAAAGCTCAGCACAGCATCGGCGGCACAGCTTCAGCAGATCTTTTTTGCGCGTCGAGGTGGTCCTCGCCACAGACATTGCGGAATCTTCCATCACATTGCCGCATGTGCTACGCCCAGTCTTCCGAGTCACACTGCAACGATAGGAATTTGCACTGATCACTTTTTTTTTGAAGACAGGACTAGCTAGAAAAGATAAGAAAAGGGGACGTCCCATTTGAAAGGCCATTTCTTGCTTGGAATTTCCTCAAGCCATCCAGGTGGTAGCAGTGATCGACCTGGGCCTTCACAGGAGGGTGGACCATGATGCCTCCAAGGGTATTGCATCTTTGGCCACGAAATGGCCTTGGGCTTGGTGTTTTGAGTTTGGTAGGGTGCGTTCTTGAAATGGAACCCCACCAATGTGTTTTGTAGATGATTTTACTACCATTTTACGTCGCCTTTTCCTTTGAGTTCTCATGATTTCTCGCCGACATTCTAATCTCTTCATTTTATCCCTCATTTTGACTGGTCGAAGCCAACATTTTGTTGGTTGTATGCATAGCCATGTTATTGAATGTTATTGATTATCAAACATCTCCACTTAAATCCTGACGTTTGAACTACTCTATGCCTCACAACAACCTCTGAGGATCAGCAAAGCCGCAGCCGCCCAAAGAAGCGGGCCGCGAACTTGGTGAATTTCAGGGATATCAAAAGAGCTTCTAATATCCCCAACTCACCAAGTTCATTATTACAGTATTATTATTGTTATTTATTCTTCCCATTATTGTTTTTTGCCATTGTTATTATTGTCATTGTTGTTGTTATCGCTATAATTAGTTATATATCATCATTATTGTCATTATCACTATGTGTTATCATCATCATCATCATCATCATCATCATCATCATCATCATCATTTAAATTACTTCTTTGCTCATTTTTCTAAGGGTGGAGTTGTATTAACACCACCTCTGCATTGCATAACTGTGCAATTCTTTCAGTCAGGGGTTCGGCGAATCTTGTACAACTCTTTCTTTGTGCTCAGGTTGTGTGGAATGATGTAACATGCATCTTGCACTGCTGAGGTTTCAGGTTTTCTTTTTGGTAGCGTGAAAACTGAAGATATCACAGTTTTACATGTTTTCTGAGGTCACGATGTTTACTGTGAGGTTTACAGGATGAGGCAGAGTGTGTGTGTGTGTGTGCATATTGCATTGGAATTGATTCGGACAGTTGGACAGGGCACGGCGATGTATCAACTCAGCTCATTCAGATTGATTGCTAGTGAGCTTATCATGGCTTGTCTATTCATTGTGTCTGCTCAGGTCATGATGCTGGTCTGTGGCACTTGGACAACATGTGCCTTTTACAAATAGCATGAAACAAGTGCGATGCATGTGCTGCTAGGCGGAGCAGAAGGATGAGGTCAGAAGTGGGGTGATCGCAAGTGTTTCTGTGCTGACCTCAGCGAGTTGTTCAGATGCCCGAGTTGACATGTCCACTTCAGAGGACACCTGGAACTATCATAGATACAGGCTCAAGATGTACGTAGGTGATCGTCTATTTGTTATGGAGCCATATGACGACGCAATGTCCAATGCTTGTGCTGCTCTGCAAATAGAGATTCAGAGAAGCTGGGAACTACCGACTGAGGACCAACCAGCACTCGACAAGCTTTTGGCCAAACATGTGTATCATTTCGGTGATATCTCAGACTGGCCCAATGACATCTGTGGGATATCTCCTGCAAAGACGGTGCCTCTAGAAAAGCCTGAGATCTACTTTCTTGGGAGTTTGGCCGCCTGTGCTCATCTCCCGACTCACCAGGCAGAGATTCCATTGTGTTCTCACAAGAGTTTCTGTTGTGTTGAGCTTTTGCCGAGCGGAGATGGAACGTATTCGTGGACGACCAGAAATGGGCTGGAAGAGTTGGTTGGAAGATCTAAAGATTCAATGATTTGTCTTCGATCTGGAAGATCCAAGACCTTGTCTACATGATGCCACTGGTTTTTGCGAAGATGTGGCAAGTGTATGCTTATCCTGGATGGAGATGTGCTGCGCTCTCCTGCAGCATTTGACCCAAACACCAGGCATCTTATTTCATTGCTTGGCGGCATCAACCGCAGTTCTGCAGCGCTGCGTGCATGGCTGATCTTTCGCCATGGTCTGACCACAGGAAGCTGTGCGCAGCTTGTTGACCGCTCGTGCAAGGAGGCAAAGAGATTTCTCGCGTTTGACTGCTGAATTTTCTTCAGCTTTGTGCAAATTTAACGCGACTTGTTGACTTCGCTGACCAGAAAAAAACATATGGCTGTTCAGAAGCAGGGCACAGCGATGTATCAACTCAGCTCATTCAGATTGATTGCTAGTGAGCTTATCATGGCTTGTCTATTCATTGTGTCTGCTCAGGTCATGATGCTGGTCTATGGCACTTGGGCAACCGATATGCCTAGAAGCAAAAAAATCTGCAAAGCGACAAGAGGATTATATATACATATGAGCTGAAACATGCACCATCGGATTCTTGTATATGTTCCGCAAACATATCACCATATCACCACATGACCATGCACACGCACAACCACGCACTCACGTACACACACCTATATGTACACAGACACGCACAACATGAACACAGCACAGATACATCATCACAACTTCACATACCAAAACATCACTTGACGCATCATATCTTCACGTCACATGCAACCAGAATCAGTATATTTACGTTTGCATACATTTACATTACTACCACCCAACCTCACATCACACGAAAATAATATCACCTCACACCCACACACACATACGTATAACATGTGCATGCACATCACATATATTACAAACTGCCTCTTTCATCCGATACACATATCGTTAACACACTGCCAAAGTGACACACCTGTACATGCACATACATACATACATACACACACACAAACTCACCCACCATCACCCCTCCATCACTCTCATACTTCCTCTTCCCTTGTTGCTTTTCTATGCTTAGACTAAGTCTGGTGAAATTGTTAACATGTGGGGTTATCCGGTTCTATAATTTCTTTGTTCATTTTTCTAAGGGTGGAACTTGCATACTTTGAACCCTGAGTTGAAACTGCGAGTCATTGGCCCAGGCGGGCTGGGCGCACGCAGCCGGGCCTCTGCCTACGTTTGTACACCAAAGAGTTATGGGGCCCAGTTGATGTGCTGGTGGCGGAAGGTCTGAGCATGGAGTCCTCCACGATCATTTGTAGATCATTTTCGAACCGGAAGGTTTGGGTTTTTTCCATATGTCAAATCACTGGAGGGTATATGGCAAATGAATTCACAATTCATTTGCAACATCACTTTTTTCCAGTTTTGGTGTTAGCTTACGAATGGCAATTAGTTTCCCTTCTTTTGGTATCGGGGGACGCATCTTGTTGCTCGGGATTTTGAGGTTCTTTGAGAAACACATGAAAGAGTTTGAGCCGCCAGAGTGCACGTTCTTGCCTGAGGGGCCCATGCTTATGGCGTTCACATTTCAGCCTTCAGGGATTCCACGGACTTCCAGGTCTATGGCCCTTGATCGTCTCTATTTGCAGGCGCGCTGCCGCATCATGTTCAACCCACAGTGGAAACAACATATTCAAAGATGCTAAGGCAGGCATCCCCATCACAGTTGCTGGTGGAGATTTTGCGCAAATCATCCCCTTATTCTTTTGGCAAAGGCGAAACAGTTGTCCTGTCAACTGGCGAAGTCCTTGGAGGGCCTCCAAGTGCCACGTCCTCGGGGACGTCTGTGGCGCTCGGATCACTGCCCTGTTTGAAGTTTCTCCCGAAAAGGATACAGTTCCAACTGAGCCATGACAAATACCTTTGTTGATCGGTGAAAAAAAACCATGGCTCAAGTCGAAGGGAATTGAACCTTTTCTGGATCTTTTTGGAGCTCAGGCCTCGAGGTGCCCAGGAGCTTCTTGCGCAACTGCCAGAGGCAAGAGGGATGGTCATGCCACCATTTTTTTTTGAATTCTAGAAAGTCCAGTGGTTAGGAGGGAGCCACGGAGCTGGGGGGTACCTATATATTTTTAGTGTTTTTTTTAGATATTTCTATTTGCCTATAAAAGCCAACGAGCTACGAGGAGTTTCCCAACCGCATGGATTTTGCGACGTGAGGCACCGGACCTGAAAAATGTGGTCATGGCGAGGCAGAAGAACGCGGAGTTGGGAACCATCTCGAACGCAACTGAGGCCCAGTTGGGTTGGACATTTCAGCAAAACATACCAGCTATGGTTGGTATAAAGTGTCCCCAATTTTAAACAAAGCATCAACATCAGCATCATGTGTTTGATTGCGTTTGTACATTTTTGTTGGCGTACAAATGCAATCATAATTTCACACAAAAGTGAGTGGTAGATATGAACACTAACTCAGTTTAACTCCAATGGAGGTTTATCAGTGACTTCTCCACATTAAAACATTGGAGGGTAAAAACCAGGGCATGAAAAATGGAGGCAGCCGAGGGCCGGCCGTGGAAGGTTGCAAAGATCACTCCGCTGGGATATCTGTGCTTACAACTCCCATTGGACCTCAAGCCTGCGGCTCAGAAAACTGATGTTAGGGCCTGTTAGGGTTCTTTGTTTCCAATCTCACACGGCCCATATGGTGGTTTCCTAAAAATTGGGTACCCCCAAAATCATACCCCTAAAATCATCTTTTCCATTATAAGCCATCCAGCTATTGGCAGTGCCCCCATTTATGGAAACCCCATATATGTACACTGTTTAATACTAATCCTGAATTGATGAACTTGTGATAAATTCCTACTAAAATGGTTTGTAATATTTCAACTGACCAGGGGCATTCTTCCGGGGTTGACAGGTTTTTTCAGCTCTGGGAGGAGTTCGTTCGTTTTTTTTTAAACATCTTAAAGCTGACGTGACAAAGGACTTGAAGTGATATTTATTTACGTTCTTTTCTTTTTTGTTAGTTTTGTATAGTTTCGTTACAAAAAACCACCCAGTTCGCAGCTCTAAGTTTTCGAGGCTCACGCGTTTAGTGTGGCTGGGAGCCCACTTTGGGTTGGCCACAGATGCCGTGGTCTTGGCGCCAGACGCTTATCTCGGCCGCTTCCTGCGGCTTCAACGGACCGAAGCTGACCCTGACGATTCCCCAGGTCGGTGATTACTTCCCAGGATGCATTTTCAATGCCGAGCCCTCTTTTCATGTGGGAGGACTGGATCACATGTGGTTAAGAGATGTTAAGAGCATTTAAGTGTCAGGTGAATCACGCCAAAACAGCAGCATGTGTGGTCAAATCGGGAAGGAAACTTCAAACTTGATTCAAACTTGTTTGTCGAGAAGGGATGGGGTATCACTTTAGTGTATAAAGTTGATGCCCGATGCAGGAGAGCGAATTTGTGTCCCGCCTCCGATCTGCTGCCTCTGCAAGGCACGAACGATATTTTCCAGCCTTATGGACTGTGGCAGACAATGGTGGTCATGCATCCTTCAAAGTCGTATTTTTCACCAGATTTTCTATGATTTTCTGGTACAGTACACATTGGTCGTTTGAGAGAGCAAACAATCCACGTTTATTCACACGTTTCATAGGTACGACCATCTGCACATGGGGATTTTTCATTACCTCAAAGTACCACCCCTCACCGGAAAAAACGAAACTGGGATGAGTGATCTACCCCAAAAACATCCACAAAAAACATTCTCCCCAAATCCCGGTTCAATCAATTCAATCCAACCAACATGGGTTTGTCGGAAAACATCCTCAAATTTGGTGTTTAATCATTTTTCTTCTCATTTCAATGGCAATTTTTGGGGTCCCTGATCAAGTCTCGCAGGATTCTTTTCGATGGGGGCGAGCTGTCAGAACCACTGATGCAACGGCAGCTCTTCCTGGAATGGCTCACGGATTTTCACCACAATGAATATGTGCTGGGAGGCTCAGTACTTCTGAAACCAGCTGCACCAGTAGATGGGATTTTTGGAGTGTTTTCACCCAGAAAACCCACTCGCAGCACCCCAAGAAGAGCCCCAAACACATGTGTAGATGGTTTTTGTGGGTCTCGTGCTAAAACAGATCGGGTGCTGTCCCAAGTTTTGACTCAACAATTCTCAAAAAGTGATGGTTTTAGGAGGGAAAGCCCATCCGGTACGGAACTCCAGATCAGTTTTTCACATCAATTCAGGTGTGGCGACAAGGAGCGGGTCCTGTGGGCCAGGAGAAGGCCTGACACTGCTTCGTGGCGCGACACGAACGGAACATGCCCCGTGGATCTTGAAGGCGTTGAACTTTTGATCCAAACCATCCCATCTGCCGACGGGTATCGGCACCTGCAGGCACACCCTGAGCTTCTCACACCAGTACTCCCTATCCAGGGGAAGGTGACCGCCTGAGATGGTGGACATCAGCAAGTTGTGGGTCACTTTTGGTCTTGAAACATGGGAATGGGTCAAAACCATGTACCCCTGGTGAACATCAAAATAGCTGGTAAATGGATGTCCATCCCCTAATAAACTGTATCTATAGGTATTGATCCATAGCCACATCCCATTTCTGGAGATTTTTGGGGTACCCCAAAAGCACTTGACCTCGGATTTTCAAAGACATGGGATTCCAGCTGGCGATTGGCCCAAAGCATTGGTTGGCCAATCTCCTGTAGGGACCACGGCTGTGTGCCATGGCTCGAAGAAAACGTGCTTGTCCAGTGCGGAACCAGCAGCGCACGCCAGAGAAAGCCTGTCCGTTGCATGAGCAAATTCAGAGTGGCCGTTCGCTGTTTGAATTTGTGAAGTTTGAGTTCGAGAGAGCGGGTGCTACCTTTACCCAAGAAGGTTTGTCATTTGAGCTGCTGCAATTGCTGCAAGATGTCAAGCTGGTGGAGAGACCTGTGACACAACACAACCGCGGGAGGGCACCTCTAGGTTTGTGTCAACAGACGTTGCCACAGTTACTTGTTCATGTGCGACGGAGGTTTAACTTGCGACTTTCTGAAGATGCTTTATCAACTTTTCCATGGCAGCAATTGCACTCGATGCTTGGAGATGGCTGTCTCTGCAAGATGTTTTACACATATCAGGTGTTCCTCTGTGTTGGAGGATCCCGCTGGCTCCAACTCACTGGCTATTGGAAGGCCAGAGACACCAGAGATCACACTGAAGGAGTTGGAGTTGTTAAATCAAAGCCCTGGACGCCCTCAGAGATCATCATCAAGAGACCCATCCTTCACGCGGCCAAATTTGCTGCGCGCGCAGGCTTGCCGCATGGCAGCCCCCTGAGGAAAATCATTCAGCAGGAAGGTGCTGATGAGGCTGGTGCTAATAGGTTGATTTGGTGGATCCTGAGTCCAAGGTTTCACCATTTGGACGTACCTCCACCCGTGGATGCGTCTGTGGCCCCTTTGCCTCAAAGGGCAAAACGACAACGTGGGAAGCGAAAACACAAGGGCCAACAGCCGCCAAACGAAGATCAAGAGAGAGCGGCGAAGCACAGAAAGATTGCACCTGCTGTGAAACATGTTCCATCTCTACAGAGGGAGGTTCTTTTCGAAGCTTTGATGGAGCCTGTTTTACACATGTTGAAGAAGACACCTGCGGTGAATTTCCAAGAGCTACTCAGCAAACATTCGCCTTCACATCGTGCCTTGCTTATCCTAAAGGTCTTCGAGCAAAAGAACCAGAGACTTGGGGACCATGCTTTGCCAAGTATTTGCGGCCTTCGATGTTCTTGCCACACTCGTCGCCCAAAAGCCAAAGTGAGTAAGGAGACGAGAGCGAGATCTGGCAACCTTTTTCAGTGCACAGGTGGGTATGGGTCAACAAAACTGACGGACATCTACCTACCTACCTACCTAAACCTACCTACCTACCTACCTACCTACCTACAGTACCCCTACACCTACACCTACACCTACACCTACACCTACCTGCCCGACTAGTATCATAAATTCCCTAAACTAGATCATCAACGCCTCAGGTGGGCCTGCCGAGATCCGCTTCATGCGCGACTTTCCCAGCCTGTCCTGTGCGGCCAGCGGACAGCAGGTGGCTCGCTTTCTGTGCGCGGCGCTCAAGGAGCTCGTTGATCTGGAGCTGGTTGGAAAGAAGAACTGGGTGAAGCTGGTCACTAAGCAGAGTTCGGAGATGGCCACACCACCGGGTGAACCAACCATCACTGGGATACATATAACATCATATAACCAAAGATAGATAGATAGTACGTGAGATTTGTAGTTGGTGATTTCACACATTTTTTGCCATCTGATCTGGGAAGATCCCCAAAGGCTCACCAGAACTCACGGGGATGATGGGGATGATGGGGATGATGGGGATGATGGGGATGGGTGGTTTCGCAGCGCAGGTGGAGTTTCTAAAACTGCTGGTGCACCAAAGGCGCTTTGAGGAGCTTTCAGTGCACGACATCATGCAGGGTCTGTCCGTGAAGGAGTTCCAGGATGGCATGATCCGTCGCTTTCTGACGCGCAAAGGGGATCCCTTTGCGCGGAAAGCGCCGAAACTGCTGGGTGGTTTCATCCAGCTTTTGATATTTGACTCATTTGACCCAGAATATGTCTGGGTCTTTCTTGTTGTTTTCTAAGGATTGGTGCAGATCTCCGGTCATTTTGATGTATGGATCATCATGGATCAAGTTTACCAGAAATTCGGGCCATTTCGTCCCGGTTCATTTGATGGTCTCCCCGGTATACTTTTCTCCCCATCCCCATCCCCTGGGCCAAGGAAGCTGGGGCAGCTGCAAGACACCCGCGTCATGGCGGAAGTTTTGGGCCGTGTCTGCTATTTCATCTTCGTGCACCTGGCCGTGCCACTGCTGAGGGGTCACTTCTATGCGACCGAGGCCGTGGGAAAGAACACAAAAAAAACCAGCCAGCCAGGTTGGGCCCCCCAAGTTGGAAACGCTTTTAATGGGGGAACAATTATGCTGAACTGTTGCTCTGTTGGTTTCGTTTTTTTTTCTGCACTACCGGATGTAGTGCCTCAAAGCCTGTTGGTTGATGTATACGAACTTGTTTGACAATTTTTCCCAGAAATCGCTGAGGCAAAAAACCTTTGGTTCCTTGAGTCACCTACCAATCCTTGTCATCTTTCTTTTTGCAAAACCCATTTCTGAGGCAGAGCCCGGTGGCATGAAGACCATCTACTTCCGCAAAAACGTGTGGCACTTCCTGCGCTCACGGGCGGATTGCGGCTTCCTACATCTCTGCATGGATCAGGAGGCGGATTCGACGGAGGTGCGCAGCTCTGGGACGACCGGCTCGCAACTTGGCAGCCAAAATACCTTGGCTTACCTAGGTTGATTAGTTATCATTAGATTTTATTGGGAGTTATACTACCAAGGTAATTATTGGATTATGAGAAGCCTTTGGGAAACCGTTTTCAACAAACAGGCTTAAATGGATTTAAATGGGACACCTTGGGACATTGATTAAATCTGATTATGTACCGATGGGATCAGCATCCGTTTGCCTATGGGGTCTATGGGTTGGAGGAACATCCATGGATCAAGATCCAAGCCGCCCAAGCCCCCAAGGCAAAAGAAGAGCCAAGCATCTCGTGGACTCTGGGCTGAATTTTGTTTGGCCTTAGTGTCTTAGTAAACCTTCCCGGATTGGGATTTACCCTCTGGTAAACTAACATAGCTATTGAAAATGGCCATTTATAGTGAGTTTTCCCATTAAAAATGGTGATTTTCCATTGCTATGTTAGTTGATCAACAGACTAAGTCATGTCCGCCTTCTCTAAAAGACGGATGGGACCTGCGCAGGGTTTGCTTGCCCCAGCCCCAGGATTCAATGCGCCTCCGATCGTCCGATGGGTACCGAAGAAACGAGGCTTCAGGCCCATTGTGAAGATTGCCAAGTGGGCAGATCAAGGAAAGCTGGGAGCCAAGCAGAAGGCGCCGCCTGCGGGTTTCATTTTCTTTGATGTATGGTTTTTTCTATGTTTTTCTGCAGTTTTCCGTCCAGTTCTTTTCTGCAGTTTTCTTTTGCTGTGTCTTTTCTTTCTAATTCTGGTTTTCCATCCCAACAAATCCAACAGATGGGGTGAAGATCCCCAACTGACCAAGCTATTTTACAATTTCTGAACCGCCCGGGTGTCTCAACTCCTGCGCGAATCTGCAGGCAGTTCTACCAATCCTCGCGAGTCTCAGAGCCTCCAATCATGGAATCTTGGGACATTCCTTGATGAACCAAAACGAAGTGCACGGTCACTTATTGGAGGCAATGGCCCGGCTGAAAGCACGCTGCCCCAACATCCAGGACTGGCGACTGATTGATCTGATTGGGACAGATTTTGTAGGAAATCCATGCCAGAAACCCCAAGGACTGTCCGTCATCAGTGACAATCAATGGTGAATATCATCCCCATATGGGAGTTGTTTATTCTTGGGTATGACATAATATACTGTGGGTAAAACATGGTAAAGCAAGAATCAACTAAACCATAATAAACCATCCCCCAAATCACCATGAATGGGTGGTATATACTTTATAAAGTATCAAAATATGGGTGGTCAAAACGGCCTTGGCCGTTTTACCCACACGGTCCTATGGAAAAAAGGTGACTCCGTGGACCCATGGGAATCCACCAGGACCTCTATGTGGTGGTTGCAGACCTGCGGAACTGTTACGACCGGATTTTGCATCAGCCTTTATTGGAAAGGATTGATCAGTTGCCACTGCAGAAGAGGTACAAGATTATCCCTATTTCTCTGCAGCGAGGGACTGGCAGGTGGGGAAACGGTGGAACTGAATGTAATGTCCACCCTGGATTTATAAACTCTTGGGCTATTATATAAGGGGTATCATTTTGGTAGCTGATTATCAGTATTGTGGGGAGCAACCAGGACGGGAAGAAATCGGGGTTGACATTATGTCGCTCAAAACAGACCCCATATTGGATCCTTTTTGTGGTGATACGACCAAGCTTAGGTTGTTCCTAAATTGGATATTTAAGGGTATCTATATAAGCTTTGATAATGGTGTGTGTGTGTGTGTCTTTAGTCGTATAAGCATGACTAGTAAAATATCATAGACTATAGTAATATATGATAATATGTATATGTATTATAACAAGACTAAAAATACGAACAATAGCAAAGATTGGAGAATAGTGGGTGTGTCTCCTTCAAGTATGATAAGCATCATGGACATTTAATGTTGATACACATCATCGTTTTCCAGTGCCTGACACATATTCCTAAGGGTTTTTTTTGGAGGAACACAGACATTAAGCTATACAAATACGGTTTGGTGACATCAGATCCAAGGTGGCAGTACTAGGCAGTTTCACACATCAACGTGATTCTAGAAGGTTCGATTAAACTTGGGGATGAACACCCAACAATAAACGAACATGTAAATTCAAGCGATGTTGTGTTTCGTATAAAATGGTAACATGAGTATATCTCAACGAACAGAAACAATCAATGTGGAGAAGTAACAATAGCTTGGCTTCATTTTGTAGCAGAATTTGGATATTGCGTAGCAACTATATGAGATATTCACAACTTGTATGGGTACAGCCAACAAGTGGTACAGAACCATGGCTGGCTACAATGCTACAATCTTACAAATTATTTGAAACATTTTTGAGACCAATTCATCACCCCACACAAGTTGAGATATTCATCAACAACAAAACTATACATTCACCACCATTTATAGTCGATTTACCCATGCTTTTCCATAGTTTTTTGTATGTTTACCAGAGGGTCATTCACCAACAAAAATTGCAGCTTAGCCAATCTAACAATGCCTGTGGATCTGCACCCTGTGATCATCCGTCGGGTTTGCGTCCTTCTGAATGAAAGTCACTTAGTACGTTCCTATATTATCAATATTTATTATATATATGTATATATATATATTAGAATTATTATCAATTATCTTCATTATTACTACCAGTAGGATCATTTCTACTATCATATAGTATCATTCGTACTATGCATGTTACTACTGTATACTATTATTCATTCTTATCATAGTAAAACAGACAGACAGACACACACGCACACACACATATCCACACACCATAATGCTTCCAATATACCATTATTGATACTTGATGATAATTCCTAACAATCATCCATGAAGAACACGATTCATGATATTTACGAAGAATTGCCTACTATTATTCATGATAATGATATAATGTGGTAAATACAATAATAAACCATCCCCAATATCACTCAAATAGGTGGTAAAAAAAACATCCCCAAATGGGAGTGGTTTTAGGCAGCCAGCATTCACGTGATTTATTCAATTTATTCACCACGATTCTATGTCATATCCACTGATTATTAACCGTAAACTCCCCAGTCATTCCTGGCATCAGGCCCCAATACTTAGATCTGGCCCTGCACCGCGGCGCCGTCCCTGAGCTGCTGCGCTCGTCTAGCTGCCCTCCACCACTGCAGCGTGAGCCGTTGGTGGTGATGCCTGGCAGTGTGCAGACGGAGGCCCGGTGCTGGATGGTGATTCCCCAAAATTGTAACGGTTTTGACCCAAACTCATTACTATTATTATTGATATATATATATATGTATATATAATTATTACTATGAATTATCATTATTTTATTGTTATTTATGATTGTTGTTGTTATTATTATGTTTCAATTTTCATGATATTTAAGCATGAGACATCGGGGTGTAACATTGAAACATGGTGATTTACTTTTGAAACGTGGTGGTTTAACATGACACATGCTGATTGAATCAGCAAACACATGGGACAGTTTCATGATATATCATAGTTTTTATTCCTTGGTGGTGAGCAAATAGTTTCTTTCAATGTGTTTTTGATTTATGATGAAATTATGTACTGTATCCATGGTGTTGAGCCAATCAACATAATCCTTTCCAGCGACCATACCGATCATACAAAACACATCCCAAAATTTCAGAAATCATTTTGGGGTATCACATAGGATCTGGTTCGTACCATATATTATATATATAGGGGATTAAGAATTCAGCATTCAAACGTTTGAATCTCTATGTTGACGAAAGGAAACTGGGAATGTAGGCGTGTGAAAAATGCAAAAACAAACAAACATGATAGTCGATCGACATTTGAAGATGAGGGTTCTGATCCTGTGTTGTTGGGGTATTGTAGGGGTTCCAGAAATGGGATATAAACAGCAGTCAAACAGGTATAATAAATAGATTGGTGTGCGAAGCATTGCCTGAAGCAAAACCATTGGTTTCCCACCTCAACTTGAGCATGAACCGGTATTTTTTGTGTCTTCAGTTTAGAGAAAACCAGATGTTTGCTTGAAGTAAAATGAATTGGGTAAATGGTTGGGAACAGGGGGCCTAAACTCACCATGTCCCAATTGCAAGGGGTCAACAAATCACCATGCCAAGCTCCGAACTAAGCCCTCAGATCCCTTGTTGCAGGTGACTTGTTCGGAAGTGACGAAGATCCTGAAATCTGCGGTACAAGGCTGTGCTGTTTTGCTGGCCTCACAACCTCGTACGGTTGAACTGCCCAACTATGCCGCACCAATCCCTGTGGGATGCCGGCTATTGCGTGGCATCCCGCAGGGCAGCCGATTTTCGCCCTTCCTTTGTGCCTTACATATGGGTGCAGGTGATGGCAGGCTTCCGGCAGATGTGGCTGAAAGTTTGGGGTCAGGACGAAGTGCTTTGGTGCGACTGGTGGATGACTTTCTTTATCTGAGCACTGAGCCAGGCAGTTGCTGCAACTTCTTATCCTGTTTGGCTCAGGAAGAGAATCCTTATCAGGGTGACCTCAACTGGCAGAAGTGCGCCGGAAATTTTCCGTTCTGCTGCTTGGAGTCCTCCCAAGATCCCTGCTTCGTCCCCACTTCGCAACGACTTCCGCCAAGCTCCACCGAAGTGCCCTGGGCCGGCTTGACGCTGGCCCCAGCCAAGGGCTTTCTGAACATCCGTCAAGGCACCAAGCGACGGGTGACAGATGCCATGGCGGTGAAAAAGCCGAAGCGGGGCAAGCTGGGGAAGATCAAGGTCTGGGAGCAGGCAGGGGAAGATGGCGGTGTTGGACGGGTTTGGGAATTGATGGTGAACGGGAGGATTGCAATCATCAGTCATCAAGTGGGATGAAAGGTGCATTTCCATTTTGTTGAAAAACTCCAAAAATTTGACCCAAAATTCTTCCATGCCATCTTGCCCCCACCTGTTTTCTGCAGGTGATCCGTTCCAAGCTATTGATCTTCCTGAAGCTGAAGCTTCAACCGTTGCTCTTGGATCCACGCCTCAACTCCCCAGACTGCGTGCGCGACAACCTGCTTCGCGTTTGCCGTGGCTGCGCTTGGCGCTTCCTCTGGCTGCTGCACAGCCGGCGCCTGCCCATGGTGACGCCCGTCTTCGTCCGGAGGCAGACGCAACGGCTGGTGCGCTATGCCACGCGGCGCGCCGACATGGTGCGTGAAGGTGACTTCATGATGGCTTGTGGAGTCACACCATTTTTGGATAACCTTTTATTAGCCATCAAATTGCGGAGCTAATTCAGATCCATAATCCATACTAATGTATACTAATGTAATCTGCTGTTTGTTGTACGTGGATTCTGGGGCAGAATGATCCTAAACTTACAACAATCTTAAACTTAAGACCATCCAAATTGGATGGTTTACGCTGAAGTGTACCAAATTGGGAAGTCGACTCTTGTCTCCTTCCGGTCCTAAGCTTCGTTTTCAATCTGACATTGCAAGGCCTACCTTCCAACGACCAGCTGAACATCAAGGGCATTGTGCGCAGTGCTTTCCGAGGCGCTTTGAGGCCCCGACAGAAAAGGCCTCTGCTGAAGGAGGCCATTGAATCTCTGAAACCCAGATCGAGGGTGGCCCGCAGGTTCAGAAAAATCATTGGGCGCGGGTGAGTTTTGCACAGCTTGATTTGGAATGGGGTCAAATTCTTTGGGACATTTGTTGTTGATGCAACAAACATTGAGCTCTAGAGCTTGGTCTTCTCTAAAGTGGGGATGGGCAAAAGCAAATAATCCTCATTCCCGTCGTGTTAAATACTCCCCAAAGACAAACTCATTTTTTGTCGGATTATTTTGCTTCACTTGGGCCCCCCAAAAAGGGGGTGTTGAATATTAGAGGCAACCGATAGTGGTCAATGATTTCGGGGGATTTTTGGATCAGCACCTGCTTGGAGCGCCAGGATGGAGCATGTGGTGTCCTACGTGGTCGACTTATCGTCCCTGGGTTTGTTTTGAGGTCAAGTATGTTGGGGGTACCATTTTGCACCCCGTCGGCGAGACAGGTCTGCGGAAAATCGAAACTATCCATTTTTTGTATATTTTGACCCATAGCCGCTCAAAAACATTGGAAACTATCCACTTCTTGGGGTTGACGACTGTATTTTCATAGCCACATGAAATTGGCCTGGTCGCTTCGCAACGACTTCAATCTCTGTGAAGGCTCAGAACCTACCGCGCCTGCATGCCCGACTCCATGGCAGCCAAGAGCCTGTCAGAGTGACGCTGGCGAAGTTACGAATGACCGCCTTGGCTTCCAAATAGGCTTTGCCAACTGTCGGAAAATAGGCTACCCTGGCCCTGGCGTCCAGTGGTATCCAGTGGTATCCAGCGGTATCCAGTGGTATCATCCAATGATATACACCCAAATGGCCATGGGTTGCTGCAGCTATGACTTTATTCAGCAGATGGTATTGACCTTTTGAGATTGTTTTGCGAGACGACCGCCTTTCGTTGACACCTGCCAGCCTGCCAGGCTCTTGTTTGCGTTGGGCTACACAATCCAAAGGGGAGACCTTTCTGGTATTCCAGGGAAGGCCGGGATTCAATCTTCTTTTTGAAGCAATGGATGCATCTGATGGGTAAATAAGGGAAATGATCCCCAAATAGGTGAGTGAAATATGATAATTGACCCAGATGGATGCATGTTATCCAGACTTGATCTCGACTTAGTCACATCTCATTCCAGGAATGGCGTGCATTCCATCCAGAGGAACAGGTGGATGTAATCGGGTCGCCGTGGTGATACAGGTACTGATGGTACTGATTCCACCAACAGTGATGAAGAAATATGCTACTTCCACCAACGGCCAGTGCTTATAATGCCAGCATATGCCAGCATGAATTTGGCTGGGACAATCTTAGACTGGACAAGACACAAATTTTCACATGCTGGTCATGTTTAAATAGTTGTACACTGTACACAATCTCAATCTTTGACTGGTGAAACCATCCCAAGACCAAATAGATAGAAAAGTGTTGCCAGGATATTAATGGATATTTATAGATTATGTTTTCCCATGTTATTCATGGCTTTCAACTTTTCCATCTAGGACTGGGGGTTGCTTTTTCTTTTTGCAGCCTTCATCTCTGCATGCGAGGCGTTTGAAACCAATACCAGTTACCTCAAAGCGCTACTGGCGGCCGCCTTTTCTGATCAACTGCTCCTAGGATTGGGGGTTGGGGACATTTGTGGGACTGGAGTTGCAGTTACGATCTCAGTGGCAAAGGCCTTTAACATCCTTTAACTACATATGAATACATATGATATGTGTTATGCACTTATACAGTTACATTATGAACAATGTATACTTATACAACTTCACCTGGACACCAAATTATGCACTTATACACTTATAACACTGTAAAAACACATGCAATATAAACATATATAAACATAGGTATCATAATTGTATAGCACACATGCTTGGACTTTCAAGCCCCAAGGGTCAGCTTCGCAATGACTCCCTGGGAGGAGGTTATGGAGCAGTCGCGAAGGAGATCGACACATCTGGAAAGTTGGAATCCCTTAGAGGATTCGGTCAGTGGATGGTTTCGTTGGAGGTTTGTTGTTGGATGGACATTGGATGACTGAACTTGGAAGATTGGATGATTATGTAGTAATCCAAGTTTGCGAATCTTCCGATTCCTCGGATCAGTTGAGAAAATCCACAGCGAAAGATTGGATGATTCGGAAGATGGGCTGGATGAAAGGTTTACCATTTTTTCAACACACGAATATAGCGCGTATTGTTTCCAAAGGTCGGGTCGCAAGCAGTTGGAGCAGCTTGAGGCCGCTATCTCTGCCATTGTGGTGGTTGCCAACGCCTAAAGATCAGTGCTACATCTATATGGGTTTGTCTGAAAAATAGGGCACCCCTAAATCCACAGGTTAATCAAGATGTTCCCGTGGTATTTGATGGATTTTGATGGCCGTTTCAAGGGTATATATACATGAGCAGCCGCCAAAACCTCCAAGTGGAGATTTAAAGGGCGTGTAAAGTAAGATGGCTCCGCGAAAGCTAAAACCACGTTCGCGAAAGATCCGCGAAAGCTTTTGCGAAGATTTGCTCCCGCGAAAGCTCGCGAAAGAGACTTTCAAGGCTCAAAATCCTGGTTTTAAGTATGTTTGTAGACAGCTTCCTCAGATGTATCTGGATCCATACGGATACATTATTCACAAATTTCTATAGATGTGACCCGAAAATCCGCGAAAGCTTCGCGAAAGCTCCGCGAAAGATCCGCGAAAGCCCTGACTAGCTGGGATGGCCCCTCCCGATTTGATTGGGGAGTGGCAGTGCCCACTGAGATCTGGCGCTCGTGGTGTCTGGCTGTGCCCACTGAGATCCGCGGTCGCATGGAGGACGAGGAGGTGAAGGAGGAGGAGGCCACCAGATGCAATATCGATCCAGATGTTGCCACAGTGACAACTGCTGCAAAACTATGTCCGTTGTGCTTGGAATCAAAGGTTTCAATACGCACTTCACTGCGGAAAACGGGGAATTGTTGTCACGTGTTTTCCGCGAAAGCTCGCGAAAGTGAATTTCAGACACATGGACGCCGCGAAAGAAAAACCCTGCATCGCGAAAGGTTCGCGAAAGAGATGGCGAAAGGGAAGACAGAATAGAACACAAGGTAACGGGGTTTCGGCAACCGCTCACATGGGTTTTTTCCACATTTTGGGACAAAGCCACATGGAGATTTTCGCAACTCTCAAACACCAGATTTGAGGTTCCGCAGGTGATCGGAAAGTGCAGTGACCTTGACCCTTTAGGCCCTCCAGAAGCTGATGGAGAAACACGATTGTCCCGCAAGAGAGCCCCATGCTCAGATGCACAGTTCGCAACAGCATCCTGCGACCCTTTCCAGGTGCGACATGAGAGCAGTAGCCAGATGCGATTTTCTTCCGGGTAGCCCTTAATGGAACAACCAGGGGATGGTAGAGGTCACTGACCGGAAATTCCCTTTCCCGTTTGACTGAAGAGTGACTTCCGTGTTTCTGCGTGACTCAGGACGGTGCTGTTTGCTAAAGATGTTAAGGACTCTTGGCGAGTCGGTGTGACGAGCCAGAGTCATATCAGGTATAATATTTGCAGCATGTGATGTTTCTTGTCTTTTCATATTTTTCATGCAGTTGGAATGCTTGCGACATTGCAGAATGACGAGGTCTAAAATACATAAAAACTTAAAACTTACTGATGTAACCTTAACCCCAATCAACACGTACAGCCAATTCCTACTCATTATATTTGGAGAGCCGCTCATTCCATCCTCGGCGCCGCTTCAGTGTCCTTCATTTCTCTAGCCCCCCTCGCGCTCTAAAAAGTCGACCGGTAGGGCCCCGGTAGGGGTTAATCCAGTCCTTTACTTCTGGCAGAACTGGACAAACCGTTTTTGTTGCAGATGCAACACCGACAACAAACCATGTTGAAATCAGCTTGATAGGTTTTTATCCATCACACTGTTCAACTGTGTTGAACCAACCATGTTCAATCATTGCCTCTTTTGGGGGCGGTTTAATGGATTTGGTCTAAGGGACATTTTAGAGGGATGCCCTATTCTCATGGTCTTATGGGAAAAACACATAGATCTAAGGAAATAACTGAACATGTCAATATTTATGATAATTTGTGAATCTTTTTTTTTCCATCAACCTAGAAAATCAACCAACAGTGATGATTGGTTGAAGATCCCCATGGTTCAACCCTGGTTTCCTGTGGCACGGCTGGCTGCGCAAATTGTGCGCCACGACGGTGAAAGGATCCGCACGAGTACGTGGAGCATGTCTCGGGCAATGGGGGACGAAGCGTCGAAAAGGAGGAGGCGCCGGGTTGGCGCCGGGTGCTTGAAATGGGGGGTTTCCATAAATGGGGGTACCCCAAAATGGATGGTTTACTGTATAATTTATAATGGAAATTCCTATTAAAATGGATGATTTAGGGGTACCCCCATTTCAGGAAACCTCCTAGTAATGGGGGTTTAAAACTTAATTCCCCACCTGCCAGGGGTGGGAAAAAAATGTAATATTCTATCAACTGTCAGTAGAACTGATTAGAACTTCTTTTTAGAACTCCATTAAAACCTATTAAGACCCTGTTCCGGTAATTTAACTGTTTGCTATGGAGAATGTGCACAGAGGCTTTTGCAATGTGCTGTGTTTTTTCGCAGTTCTGCGATTCGAATTGCTTCGCGTTTCTGCTGGATTCCACCATCGATGCGCGCTTCAAAGAGCGACAGCATGTGGTCCTTCCCACTGCCAGACCCATACCCTGGTACGACTGAGCCTCGATGCGCAGTCTGAAGGGGCGAGGCACAGCTGCGTTGAGGACATTGTGATACTGTCAATGTACATCAGGTGGGTTTGTCCAAAAACAGCTTTGCCTGAAAGTCTGAAAATAGGATACCCCCAAAATCTACTAATCATCCACTTCCCTTGTCAAAATTGCCAACCTTGCTATAGATTTGGGTTAATTTCCACATTTTCAGACACGCCCAGAGGGTGATGGCAGGTGGTGTGCGCTCGCATCTCGCAAATCGGCACCACTGCTTGCAGAGACCTTGGATCCCAAGATTGAAAGAACACTGGGGATTTCATGATATACCATCATTCTATTGTAATTGATACACCATCATTATGTCATGTTTTTTCAAGAACACTGTGGATTCTAATTGATCATGGGGATTGTTTTGGATTTTCAACACCCTTCACAAGCCCATGGGTTTCGCATGGTTTCGGCTTGAACCACCTGGTTTAACACCCTCTGTAGTTCAGCTACACAGATCCGAGGTGAGCAAGACTCGACTGCCGGCAGAGTTTAATCTCCTGTCCCAATTTCAGAAGCACATGCAGGACCGACCCCGAGGGTTTGCCGAGATGCTGATTTCTTTCTTTGTTTAGTTTTTTTTTTTTAAATGGAACATCCACCATTTATCCACCATTTAGGGAATCTACAATCCATCCCAAGGTGGCGTTCAAAATCCCTGGTGGTTGGTGATGGTTGCACGGTTTCATGGGTGTCTACTGTAACTGATCAGTCACAGAGATGGTCATAATCCATGATCAGTCGAACCAATCCAGGGCACGTTTTGGAAACTGCGGAAAATCTTCCAGGCCCTGGTGTATTTCGCTGGTGTTTTTTCCTACAGGGGGACAGGGGATACGTTTTTTCTCGCAGAATGAAATCCCAAAAAATTGGACACTTCCATCCCTACAAGGTACCGCTCCCGAGCCCGTCAGGAGCTGCAAAGAGTTCAAGCCACCGGCTGGACGTACAGACCAGTTGCAGCACTCAGTGTGAGCTGATACCCCATTGAAAAATCATGGATGGTTAGTGATGATTAATGATGGTTAATGATGGTTGATGATGGTTGATGCTGGATTTGCACAAAGCCAATTTCCGGGTACACATGTAGAAATGAAGATGGTATCACCTGGTAGGCGCCAAGTTATATGTTTAGAGATAATATATATATAGATTTGTAACCACGCTGGAAAATCAAGTTGCAATCTATGATCCTGAAGATGGGTTGATGATCTGAGTTGCCCAAACGGCGGGGAGTTGTAGCGGTAGAACCTCAGAAACCGAGTGCCCAGGTTCCCTTCATCCATCCGCACATCCTGAGATGGGAATGGATGGAGCCTCTCTACACGCCCAAAGGGGCGTCAGTGCCTTAGTGGACCTCAACATGGGGGAATTCTCCGCCATTCTGCGGTTGATGAAAGATGATGAACCATGATGAAACATCCAAATTTGGGCTAGCCGATTTTCAGTGTGCCATGGCTGCCATGGGCAAAAAATTGTTTATTTTCCCATGGTCATCCTCCTCAATGGGAGATGAGAAGCTTGGCGAGGCTTCTGCGCTGCGAAGGGATGTTGGAAAAGAAGAACCCCCTGGGGTTTTGAGCTCAGCAGGGTCCAAGGAAATAAGCTTCAGAGCTTCCAAGTGCCATGAATTTCATGGATGTTTGGAATCTACATGTTCCGGTGAGGTCAGAGATTCTTAGTCAAGAATTGAAAGACATTGAACAAAAATCTCATGTTCATCCAATGATTGCTGGTGACCTCCGCTGTTTTGGCGGCAGGTTGGTTGGTTACGTGCAGCCCCTCGAGGAGGAGGGGTTGCTGGGCTGTACCATATGTATATACCATATACATATATATATATATGTTGTGTATATGTATATATATATATTAATTATACAACACAGATATGATATAACATGTAAAACTATGTACAGTAACACTTAGTAATGTGGTAAACCTTGGTATAAACCCAATTATACCATACCCAAATTTACTATAATATAAATAGGTGCTAGAAACCATCCCGGAATGGCAGGTTTATTTTTGTCGTGCCCGGTCATTTTCCCCTGCCAGGGCAAGTTGAAGCCGGTCGCCTGCTTCGCGGTGGCGGCCAACGTGCGCGGTGGGCAGGGGCCAACCAACTGCTATCCCGAATCGGCTCGGGAACCAAGAAACATGGGGGGCACGGCCGATTTTGAAAAAGTTGGGAAGTTGCAACAATACACCACCCTTAATTTTGATGGTTTACAGAACCCATTTATGGTGATTTTGGGGATGGTTTATTATTGCTCTACCAACATTACTTTACTTCTGTGGCCTGAGAAACGCTGGGGTTTCGCGTGGCTTTTCTATGCTTTTCTTGGCTTCTTGGCTTGGCTCTGCGTTCCATCTTTGGTTAGTGCCTTCTGCGTGTAGTCTGTTGGAAATGAGGCTTTCTAATTTACTTGCCATGATTGTCAGACCCAAACGAGCGGGTTCTGATCGATTTATTTTTCCCCATGTTTTTCCCATTTTTTGCCAAGCAATTCCTGTGAGATGTTTCGACTCCGCGACTCCGTGTAGGTCACCTGTCTATCTCCTGGACATATCGGCTTTATCCTGAGCACCACCAAACTGGATCTCACCAAGACGCAGTTGCGAAGGCTAAATCGAGCGAGATGGGCCTTCAAACTGAAGCAACCAAATACAAAAAACCAGGGTTTCCTTTCGGGGTATTTGATATTATGGGGAAGGGCTGATTTAGATATGACATAATACTATAATAACCTTGAACAACCTTGAACAATTCTGAAAAATATATTAGAACCGTAAATCCTGCACTACAGTAGTGGTCAGCTTAACATGTTCTCTGGTTTTGGGGTGACTCTACGTCCCGGGATTTCAAACCAAGAAATCTACGTGAGAATCACCACCTCATGGGGATATCATGGGTCTGTCGAAGTTTGATTTACCAGTGGCAATTCTAGTGGGGAAAATGGTAACTATGTCATGGGGTCGCCTATTTTCAGATTTTTCAGACCTCTCTTGAGGTCCCCAGATTGGGTACTCCAAATTTTCCGCACCAGAGGGTCTATCTATGCTTCTGGGTGAGAGGTTTGGCTTCACTACCAGAGGTGAGCTGGCTGTTCGCTTCTCAGATCGGTGTCTTTCACTGTAAATCGGCAGGGAATGCTTCGAACTTCTTGAAATTGGGTGCCCCAAAACCGCTGGCTTCCCAAACAATTTCCTTAAATGGGGGGTACCCCCAAATCATCCATTTTAGTAGGATTTTCCCTTTAAACCATCCATTTCGGAGATCTCCCATTTTAGGAAACCAACGGATACGGCCACCACGATGCCGCCGTGAGGTGCTTCACCGCTGTGTTGACTTGCCTTCAGGTGCTGAGATGGGCCGACAGATTGGCCAATCATTTTATGGGGAGACACTGGATATAAAAATGATGGTGATTTAACATTAACATAGCTATTGAAAATGGTCCATATATAGATTATTTACCTGTTAAAAATAGTGATTTTCAAAAGCTATGTTAATTACCGGAGGGTATAAATGATGGTAACATTATTGGGCGGGCTTTGACTTATCTGTACTCGTATTTATCTTGTATCAAAGAGTGTGCAGAAACATCTCACCAAAAGTCTGAGTGGCGGCCAAGCGTCTAAAGTCTAAAGTGTTTGTCTTGTATGAAAGAGTGAACAGAAACGTTTCGCCAAACGTATGAGTGACGGCTAAGCGTCTAAAGAATACAGCCCACGTATACCCAAGTGACATTGTGCGTATAATATTTTAAGTAGATAAATAGAAATAAATAGATAGATGGATGGATGGATGGATGCATGGATGGATGGATACATGGATGGATGGATGAACGGGTGGATGAATACAATCGATAGATAGGTAGATGGATGGATAGATCAAGCGATAAATAGATCGATAGATTATATAGATTAGATACCCTCTGGTAATTTAACATAGCTATGGAAAATCACCATGATTAATGGGAAAATCCACTATAAATGGTCATTTTCAATAGCTATGTTAAATTACCAGAGGGTATAGCATATATATATATATATACACCTACAAATTGTAGTAACCCGACCGCAGCGTCACTGAAATGATGGTTAGTAAGGGAATATGTTGCAAACCAGTTTTTCTGCAGTTGCAAAACAGTTTTTCTACCAGTTCGTAAATATACCTATATGCATGTACCCTATATACACATGTATATATATAATATAGATATATGATATATGGCAATATGGCTAGGGGATGATTTCGGACGTCCCTTTTTTAAACATGTCTATTTTAGCATAACTTCAAGTCATATATCGTATGTGACGCTTGTACAAACATAAAATGCAAATGGAATGCAATGCACAAAGCAACATAGAATGCAATGCGCAAAATAGAATGCAATGCACACCTTTATATCTGCAAATGAAATGCGATGCACAACTTTATGTCTGCAAATAGAATGCAATGCACAAAAAATCAGTTTGCAAACTCACCCTCTAGTTTGCAAACTCACCTTCTAGTTTGCAAACTCACCTTCTAGTTTGCAAACTCGTCTTCTAATTTGCAAATTCATCTTCTCAATGATTAAATAATGCAAATTATTTTTGTTATGGGTTCAAGTCACTTCTGTTTCAAGATGATGGGACGGAGAGGGGCGGGGGGGGTAGGGACTCTTTCCGAGAGAAGCAAGAGGATGGGGGGGGGTAGGGACTCTTTCCAATATAAACATCCGAAGAGTCTCCAACCCTCCCCCCCCCTCTCTCCAACATGATGTCTTAAAGAGTTTCCAGCGCCCCCCCTCCCCACCGTCAATGACCAAAAAACACGGTATGAAATCTCAAGATCCAATTCTAAGATCCAATACTTCTGGAAGGAAGCACGTTGCACAAAAAATCCCTGCAACATACAAGGCATCTTTCAATGAAATGCAGTATCTCTTCAAATCAATTACTCTAAGACTACCTTCAATAATGTAGCTACTACTTTGAAGAACATGCATGTTTTTCTCTAAGTAACACTATATTTGTTGGAAAACAAGGTGGCTGACGGTGGCTGTTTGACAGAAAATGCTGAACATGTGGCACACGTACTGCTACATTGTGCTTTCTAGAGTCAGTATGCACTCATTTTTTGATAGTAATAGTGCATACTTGAAATGAAAAAATGTGAGCCGTCTTTGTTTAAACAAACACCTCAGAAATGCTACCTCTATGAGAATCAGTGGCTTGAACGAGTACAGAATTACTTCAATAAGAAAGCTCTCTTAGTCTATGCAGTATTCATTTGAACCAGCAATAGATTCAGAAAAAGAGTTGTAGTGTAGCCTAGCATTACATTTTTTTTAATTTTCCATTGAAAAGAGTGATACCTTCCTTAAACATGGTGGGGCATTCCTTCAAGATAATGCACCATTGCTTTGGCATAGAATGCCTCAATAGATGCAGTAGTACTTGGAAAAAGTTTGAGTGTCAAAAAAAAGTCCCTGAATGGATGCAGTACTCTGTATTCTGAAAGAAGTGTAGAGGGGTAGCACCACTTTTATATTTCATTAAGAAGAGTAATACATTTCTGGAAAATAGAGGGTGTAGTGCTCCCTGGGAAGGAATCCTTTGAGTACCCATTTTAGACAACAATTATGGCATTCCTTAACGAACGTGTTGGTGCAAGTATGTGCAAAGCTTCCTTCACAAGGGAGTGAACCACTTGATTGAACAACACTTGCATACAAAGAAACGCAATACTATGAAGTAGAACCCTTGGGTGTATGTAGTATTTTTTGAGAGAAACAGGTCATGATTGTATGTGTGCAATATGCCCTTCCATATGTCAAGTCTTTCCTTAAAGTCACATGTCATACGGAAAAATGAGAGGAAGGCTGAGCTTTATTACAGGATGTATTGCATCTTTCCACATCTTGTATTTTTCTGCAAGAATGCTGCTTCTTACTTAAGGGAATACCTTGTCTTCACGGCAATTAGTTTGAAGAAGTTGAATCTTTCCCAAAAAAAGGTCATACAAGACAAATCAGAGGAAGGATGAGCTTCATTAAAGGATGTATTGCATCTTTCCACACATTGTAGTTTTCTTGCAAGGATACTGTTTTTTTATTTAGGGGAATATCTTGTCTTTAAGGCAGATTGTAACCTGTAAGCAGCATTTCCTTTAACAACAATCATTTATTTTTTTTGAAGGAATGCAGCATGTTTCAAATGAAAGTTACTGGCTACAAGATAGAAAAAAGCTTTTTTTTTTTTTGGGGGGGGGCTAGCGTATATACGTATATATACTGTATACTTATATATACAGATACATATGCACAATCACTGCCGGCAGGGTTGGCCGAAACCATCGCGAAACCAAATATATATAATATATATATATACTTCAGGAGGAACAAAGTTTATGCTTCTTGAAAGCTTTACAAGACATCCATGTCGGTCAACCGCGGATCGCATTTTCAAGTCCGTTTTGTGTGGCAGGTGTGGGACGGTCAATTATCACCCTCTTTTAAATATATAAGATTTTAAAGCTTTTGGAGGGTGGAAATGCGACCGGGGTACGACAAAGCTCCATGCTAGGATTCTACGGGGAAAGGGTGTGCAGAAGAAGAAGCCAAACATGTTCACTGTGGGAAGCTCAACAAGCGCAACTTTTGTCCTACCAGTGCGTCACGGCACATGTGTAGCAGTGCAGACAAAGAGGATGGAGACAGACATGTTATGTGGAGTAATGTCCAAGCTGAAGCAGGTGCAAAAATCAGCAAATGACGTGGCAATTCCCACTAAATAAGCTTTTTGTACCCTGCGTCACGGCACATGTGTAGCAGTGCAGACAAAGAGGATGGAGACAGACATGCTATGTGGAGTAATGACCAAGCTGAAGCAGGTGCAAAAATCAGCAAATGACGTGGCAATTCCCACTAAATAAGCTTTTCGTACCCTGCGTCGCAGCACATGTGTAGCAGTGCAGACAAAGAGGATGGAGACAGACATGTTATGTGGAGTAATGACCAAGCTGAAGCAGGTGCAGAAGTCAGCAAATGACGTGGCAATTCCCACTAAATAAGCTTTTCGTACCCTGCGTCACGGCACATGTGTAGCAGTGCAGACAAAGAGGATGGAGACAGACATGTTATGTGGAGTAATGACCAAGCTGAAGCAGGTGCAAAAATCAGCAAATGACGTGGCAATTCCCACTAAATAAGCTTTTCGTACCCTGCGTCACGGCACATGTGTAGCAGTGCAGACAAAGAGGATGGAGACAGACATGTTATGTGGAGTAATGTCCAAGCTGAAGCAGGTGCAAAAATCAGCAAATGACGTGGCAATTCCCACTAAATAAGCTTTTTGTACCCTGCGTCACGGCACATGTGTAGCAGTGCAGACAAAGAGGATGGAGACAGACATGCTATGTGGAGTAATGACCAAGCTGAAGCAGGTGCAAAAATCAGCAAATGACGTGGCAATTCCCACTAAATAAGCTTTTTGTACCCTGCGTCGCAGCACATGTGTAGCAGTGCAGACAAAGAGGATGGAGACAGACATGTTATGTGGAGTAATGACCAAGCTGAAGCAGGTGCAGAAGTCAGCAAATGACGTGGCAATTCCCACTAAATAAGCTTTTCGTACCCTGCGTCACGGCACATGTGTAGCAGTGCAGACAAAGAGGATGGAGACAGACATGCTATGTGGAGTAATGACCAAGCGGCTGAAGCAGGTGCAAAAATCAGCAAATGACGTGGCAATTCCCACTAAATAAGCTTTTTGTACCCTGCGTCACGGCACGTGTGTAGCAGTGCAGACAAAGAGGATGGAGACAGACATGCTATGTGGAGTAATGACCAAGCTGAAGCAGGTGCAAAAATCAGCAAATGACGTGGCAATTCCCACTAAATAAGCTTTTCGTACCCTGCGTCGCAGCACATGTGTAGCAGTGCAGACAAAGAGGATGGAGACAGACATGTTATGTGGAGTAATGACCAAGCTGAAGCAGGCGCAGAAGTCAGCAAATGACGTGGCAATTCCCACTAAATAAGCTTTTCGTACCCTGCGTCACGGCACATGTGTAGCAGTGCAGACAAAGAGGATGGAGACAGACATGTTATGTGGAGTAATGTCCAAGCTGAAGCAGGTGCAGAAGTCAGCAATTGACGTGGCAATTCCCACTAAATAAGCTTTTCGTACCCTGCGTCACGGCACATGTGTAGCAGTGCAGACAAAGAGGATGGAGACAGACATGCTATGTGGAGTAATGACCTAGCTGAAGCAGGTGCAAAAATCAGCAAATGACTTGGCAATTCCCACTAAATAAGCTTTTTGTACCCTGTGTCACGGCACATGTGTAGCAGTGCAGACAAAGAGGATGGAGACAGACATGTTATGTGGAGTAATGGCCAAGCTGAAGCAGGTGCAAAAATCAGCAAATGACTTGGCAATTCCCACTAAATAAGCTTTTTGTACCCTGCGTCACGGCACATGTGTAGCAGTGCAGACAAAGAGGATGGAGACAGACATGTTATGTGGAGTAATGACCAAGCTGAAGCACGTGCAAAAATCAGCAAATGAAACGGCAATTCCCACTGGATAAGCTTTTTGTACCCTGCGTCACGGCACATGTGTAGCAGTGCAGACAAAGAGGATGGAGACAGACATGTTATGTGGAGTAATGACCAAGCTGAAGCAGGTGCAGAAGTCAGCAAATGACGTGGCAATTCCCACTAAATAAGCTTTTCGTACCCTTCAGGAGGAACAAAGTTTATGCTTCTTGAAAGCTTTACAAGACATCCATGTCGGTCAACCGCGGATCGCATTTTCAAGTCCGTTTTGTGTGGGAGGTGTGGGACGGTCAATTATCACCCTCTTTTAAATATATAAGATTTTAAAGCTTTTGGAGGGTGGAAATGCGACCGGGGTACGACAAAGCTCCATGCTAGGATTCTACGGGGAAAGGGTGTGCAGAAGAAGAAGCCAAACATGTTCACTGTGGGAAGCTCAACAAGCGCAACTTTTGTCCTACCAGTGTATATCATAAGGATCCTTAAAATCACGTAATTGAAATGAGATTGTTGTCACGAGCTGCCTCTACCATGTCCGACCGATTGCAAGCGTAGGCCAACCAAACACGGGTACAACGCCCAAACAATCCCTTGCACAAACTATGCCATTCGAGTCGTGCCGAGTTGTCTAGCCATGTCTAATCTATACCGGACATCAACGCCAGAGCCAGGGCAGCGGAGTGATGTCCTCTCCAGTCTGACTTCTGTTGGATCCAGTTTCACTAACGGCCCAGCAGCACCCTGCCTGGGGCTGAATGCCGGCTGCAGGCGGAGCTGCGGCATCACTTTGCCTGGAGGACTGGTGACTGGTGAAGCTCTAAGTTCCGGGTCGTGGCAGTTTGTTGATTAAAATAATGGTAAGCACTTTCCAGAACCTAATGAGAACAGTAGTAATATATAATGACAATAAAAAACAATAAATATGTAATGTTTTGTCATGTTTTATCAATATTACAAATCGCCATTATTTAGCACCATTGCTCATGACAAACATCTACAAATTGCCTTTCACTGTTCACGCATCATCACAGCAGTTTTAGTTTTTTTCCCCCTCTCTCTCTCTCTCTCTTTCCATCGCCATCTCCAGCAACAGTTATTGGAACCAGCAATCATTTCCTGGCCAGTCAGAACCAGTGGCTAGGGGAGAAGAATTTTGCAGCACTCCGCAGCATCCAGCGCTCAAAGTTGCCCATTCGTTTCATTATATTATATGATTATCAATGTATTTGCATGTGCATGAATCTATGTAGTAGAATCTATACTACAAATTACTACAATATATTATAATCTTTGTGCCTACCCTTCAGATTCAGCAGCATTTACACCAGCACAATCAACGCCACAGAGCCTCGGGGGGCCTCGTTCACGGACCTACACGGTCAACGTGTCCAATGCCAAGCAGGATCGAAATCATGGATGTTTGAGTCAGTGAGCCAAATATTTTAGATGGGGAAGAATCTGGAAGAATAACATGTTTGATTTCTAATTAATTAATGGCCAATGATGTGCGACGTTCACTTTTGCTGTAAGCAGGGTAGACTTGGCAAGGATCTGCAGGGCAACTGTCATGGTTTTTCTGCAGGCTACTGGGCCAGTCTAGTGATTCTGCACCGTGCACCTGCAGACCTTTTCCAACTCTGCGGCGGAGAAGTCGAAAACTCGGATGTGAAGATGGTTCAAAATTCCTACCTTCAGAGGTCAATAGAAAATGAAAGACATGGGTTTGAAAGTTTGAAACTTGCACGGTTCGGTGCCAGAGCCATTTTTTGTTACCAACCAATCTCACTGGTTTGTTGATGTTTGGTACCCAAATTTTGAACCAAGGCCAATTGAACAGGACTCCATCAAGCCCGCCATCTGGGACTCACAGCGCTGGCAGCAACGCTTTTGCCGCTGCTGCGCCCCAAAGTCGTGATCCTATGCCATGGGGATGTGCAAGTGGTGCACCTCTAACCTTTCTGGTAACCTTAGGCTTGGCCAATAGCTGCACATGACTCTGTCTGAAAACATGATGCAGCACTCCAAAATCCAATCCATATATATATATACGTGTGTGTGTGTGCGTGTGTAATTATATATATATGTGTGTGTGCGTGTGTAATTATATATATATGTGATATATATATATATTTATATATTTATTATTATATATCATATATTAGATACCGACTAGAGATATACGCCCCATGTCCCGACACCCTTTTTGCGCGGTTGCCGGTGTTCGATGTCACGTGGCTTTGGTTTTTTTCACCGCTTGGATCACTTCCTGCGAGGCTCCGAAAAATCGAAGCGCATGGGGCGCTGTTAGCGCCATCTGGGCCATGATGCCTCGTGGCTTTGAAGGGAAGCCCAGAAACTGGACCTGAAAACATCAAAAACTGTCATCTTATTATACTTGTTTAATCTGTTGATGGTAATTGGATTTGGGCCAGATAATTTCCAATCTATGATGTAACCAGATGTAACCAGCCTGAGAAATTCATTGAAATTTACTCCCTACAAAACGACTGTCATGCAGCTTCTGCCCAGCTGCTGTACTTGATGATTCGGCCTACCAAAATTGCCAGGAGAATGGCGAAGTCGCTCATCTTTGACAGCTTTCCAAAGAAAATCAGCGGGTGAAGGATGATGGGCATGGCCTTAAAACCCGACACCACACGCCATATGTCATGGTCAAAAAATGCTATATGTGTTGCGGTCATGCAATGTTGGCGATTATAGATCCCTATCCACCCACCAGGTATATGATCCAACTTTTCACCACGGCAATTTTTGGGCCTGACCCACATGAGCCGTGTACCAGCAAGTCATCATAGGAAACCCATAAAAAGCCACGACTGCAAAGATCCCCAAAGTCAGAAAAGAATGCCAGGCCATCACCACAGCAACCAAATGGAATAGAGGTCTTGATGGTTTTCTTGAATTTTCAGATTTCTTTGCGGGTGTGGAGGGGTGATGATGGTGGTTGTGCTATCATATTCATCACCGCAAACAACAATCCGAACAAACATCCCAGTGGCAGACACCGGTACGGCCGCCAACGAGCCGTAGGATTGCATCATTCCTTCAGTCCACGACCACCATTTGCTTGTGAAGGTGGCCTTGGTTCCGTCAGACCTGTCCGATAATGAATGGCAAACATATTCAAATGCAGCAAACAGAATACTCAGAATACTTTATATATATATATGTGATCAGGGAAGGCCGGCCCGAACACAGAACGAGGAACGGAACGGGAACGGAACGGGAACGGAACGGGAACGGAACGGAACGCGCACACGCGAAATGCCTGTTCAACATCTGGGGGATTCGCGGCTTCCATCTGCATTTAGAGCTGCTCGCAAAATGCAAGTGGATTCTTTTGCGTTCAGTCCTTTCAGACAGGAAAACCAATTGGCTTCCTTCAGTAACATATTTGCATTCTGCTACTGTCACAAAATGCAGCTGGGAACTTTGGATTGTGGGACACGGTCATTTGCATTTCTAGCTGCTGGCAAAAAGCAGATGGCAATTCATAACGGTTATTTTTTATTTGGTCATTCCATCTGCATTTAGTGCCGCTCGCAAAATGCAAGTGGTTTCTTTTGCGTTCAGTCCTTTCAGTCGGGAAAACCCATTGGTTTCCTTCAGTAACATATTTGCATTCTGCTAGCGTCACAAAATGCAGCTGGGAACTGCGGATTGTGGGACACGGTCATTTGCATTTCTAGCTGCTGGCAAAAAGCAGATGGCAATTCATAACGGTTACCTCCTGCATTTGGTCATTCCATCTGCATTTAGAGCCGCTCGCAAAATGCAAGTGGTCTCTTTTTCGCTTAGTCGATTCAGACAGGAAACCCAATTGGTTTCCTTCAGCAACATATTATTTGCATTCTGCTACTGTCACAAAATGCAGCTGGGAACTTTGGATTGTGGGACACGGTCATTTGCATTTCTAGTTGCTGTAAAAGCAGATGGCAATTCATAACGGTTATTTTTTATTTGGTCATTCCATCTGCATTTAGAGCCGCCCGCAAAATGCAAATGGTTTCTTTTGCGTTTAATCGTTTCCGGCAGGAAAACCAATTGGCTGCCTTCAGTAACATATTTGCATTCTGCTACTGTCACAAAATGCAGCTGGGAACTTTGGATTGTGGGACACGGTCATTTGCATTTCTAGCTGCTGGCAAAAAGCAGATGGCAATTCATAACGGTTATCTCCTGCATTTGGTCATTCCATCTGCATTTAGTGCCGCCAGCAAAATGCAAATGGTTTCTTTTGCCTTTAGCTGTTTCAGACAGGAAAACCAATTGGCTTCCTTCAGTAACATATTTGCATTCTGCTACCGTCACAAAATGCAGCTGGGAACTTTGGATTGTGGGACACGGTCATTTGCATTTCTAGCTGCTGGCAAAAAGCAGATGGCAATTCATAACGGTTATCTCCTGCATTTGGTCATTCCATCTCCATTTAGAGCCGCTCGCAGAATGCAAGTGGTTTCTTTTGCGTTCAGTCCTTTCAGTCGGGAAAACCAATTGGCTTCCTTCAGTAACATATTTGCATTCTGCTACTGTCGCAAAATGCAGCTGGGAACTTTGGATTGTGGGACACGGTCATTTGCATTTCTAGTTGCTGGCAAAAAGCAGATGGCAAATGATGGCAATTCATAACGGTTACCTCCTGCATTTGGTCATTCCATCTGCATTTAGAGCCGCTCGCAAAATGCAAGTGGTTTCTTTTGCGTTTAGTCGATTCAGACAGGAAACCCAATTGCTATCTACGATGCTATCTATCTGCGTTTCCGTCAGCCGTAGAAATGCAGATAATTTGCGCCAGAGCAGCAAGGGAGCCATCGCGCAGACAAGGCTGAACCAACACGAGCCGTCTCAAGGTATCTCTGGTCAGGTGTTCTCAAGCTTATGGACAGACTGCATGCCCGGCCTGAAGCCAGCAAATGACAACACAGCGTCCCGGGAAACTCCATCTGCATTTTGGCCAGCTCCCAAAATGCAGATGAGTCGTCTGGTATATAGAAAGCAGGACGCCAGCCCAAAACTGGCCTTGGCCAGCTTTTCTTCCCGATGCTATCTATCTGCGTTTCCGTCAGCCGTAGAAATGCAGATAATTTGCGCCAGAGCAGCCAGGAAGCCACTGTGTAGACAAAGCTGAACCAACACGACCCTTCTCAAGGGATCTCGGGTCAGGTGTTCTCAAGCTTATGGGCACCAGAGACTGCATGCCCGGCCTGAAGCCAGCAAATGACAACACAGCGCCCCGGGAAACTCCATCTGCATTTTGGCCAGCTCCCAAAATGCAGATGAGTCGTCTGGTATATAGAAAGAAGGACGCCAGCCCAAAACTGGCCTTGGCCAGCTTTTCTTCCCGATGCTATCTATCTGCGTTCCGGTCAGCCGTAGAAGCAGATAATTTGCGCCAGAGCAGCCAGGAAGCCACCGTGTAGACAAGTAGGCTGAGCCAACACGACCCTTCTCAAGGGATCTCTGGTCAGGTGTTCTCAAGCTTATGGGCACCAGAGACTGCATGCCCGGCCTGAAGCCAGCAAATGACAACACAGCGCCCCGGGAAACTCCATCTGCATTTTGGCCAGCTCCCAAAATGCAGATGAGTCGTCTGGTATATAGAAAGAAGGAGGCCAGCCCAAAACTGGCCTTGGCCAGCATTTCTTCCCGATGCTATCTATCTGCGTTTCCGTCCCGTAATGCTGCCATGCCATAGACAAGGCTGAGCCAACACGACCCTTCTCAAGGGATCTCTGGTCAGGTGTTCTCAAGCTTATGGACACCAGAGACGGCATGCCCGGCCTGAAGCCAGCAAATGACAACGCAGCGTCCCGGGAAACTCCATTTGCATTTGGCCAGCTCCCAAAATGCAGATGAGTCGTCTGGTATATAGAAAGAAGGACGCCAGCCCAAAACTGGCCTTGGCCAGCTTTTCTTCCCGATGCTATCTATCTGCGTTTCCGTCAGCCGTAGAAATGCGGATAATTTGCGCCAGAGCAGCAAGGGAGCCATCGCGCAGACAAGGCTGAACCAACACGAGCCGTCTCAAGGGATCTCTGGTCAGGTGTTCTCAAGCTTATGGACACCAGAGACTGCATGCCCGGCCTGAAGCCAGCAAATGACAACACAGCGTCCCGGGAAACTCCATCTGCATTTTGGCCAGCTCCCAAAATGCAGATGAGTCGTCTGGTATATAGAAAGAAGGACGCCAGCCCAAAACTGGCCTTGGCCAGCTTTTCTTCCCGATGCTATCTATCTGCGTTTCCGTCAGCCGTAGAAATGCAGATAATTTGCGCCAGAGCAGCCAGGAAGCCACCGTGTAGACAAGGCTGAGCCAACACGACCCTTCTCAAGGGATCTCTGGTCAGGTGTTCTCAAGCTTATGGACAGACTGCATGCCCGGCCTGAAGCCAGCAAATGACAACACAGCGTCCCGGGAAACTCCATCTGCATTTTGGCCAGCTCCCAAAATGCAGATGAGTCGTCTGGTATATAGAAAGCAGGACGCCAGCCCAAAACTGGCCTTGGCCAGCTTTTCTTCCCGATGCTGTGTTGTCATTTGCTGGCTTCAGGCCGGGCATGCAGTCTCTGGTGTCCATAAGCTTGAGAACACCTGACCAGAGATCCCTTGAGAAGGGTCGTGTTGGCTCAGCCTTGTCTACACGGTGGCTTCATGGCAGCTCTGGCGCAAATTATCTGCATTTCTACGGCTGACGGAAACGCACATAGATCGTCCCGGGAAACTCCATCTGCATTTTGGCCAGCTCCCAAAATGCAGATGAGTCGTCTGGTATATAGAAAGAAGGAGGCCAGCCCAAAACTGGCCTTGGCCAGCTTTTCTTCCCGATGCTATCTATCTGCGTTTCCGTCAGCCGTAGAAATGGAGATAATTTGCGCCAGAGCTGCCATGAAGCCACCGTGTAGACAAGGCTGAGCCAACACGACCCTTCTCAAGGTATCTCTGGTCAGGTGTTCTCAAGCTTATGGACACCAGAGACTGCATGCCCGGCCTGAAGCCAGCAAATGACAACACAGCGTCCCGGGAAACTCCATCTGCATTTTGGCCAGCTCACAAAATGCAGATGAGTCGTCTAGTATATAGAAAGAAGGACGCCAGCCCAAAACTGGCCTTGGCCAGCTTTTCTTCCCGATGCTATCTATCTGCGTTTCCGTCAGCCGTAGAAATGCAGATAATTTGCGCCAGAGCAGGAAGGGAGCCATCGCGCAGACAAGGCTGAACCAACACGACCCTTCTCAAGGGATCTCTGGTCAGGTGTTCTCAAGCTTATGGACACCAGAGACTGCATGCCCGGCCTGAAGTCAGCAAATGACAACACAGCGCCCGGGAAACTCCATCTGCATTTTGGCCAGCTCCCAAAATGCAGATGAGTCGTCTGGTATATAGAAAGAAGGACGCCAGCCCAAAACTGGCCTTGGCCAGCTTTTCTTCCCGGTGCTATCTATCTGCGTTTCCGTCAGCCGTAGAAATGCAGAGAATTTGCGCCAGAGCAGCCAGGAAGCCACCGTGTAGACAAGGCTGAGCCAACACGACCCTTCTCAAGGGATCTCTGGTCAGGTGTTCTCAAGCTTATGGGCACCAGAGACTGCATGCCCGGCCTGAAGCCAGCAAATGACAACACAGCGTCACAGCGCCCCGGGAAACTCCATCTGCATTTTGGCCAGCTCCCAAAATGCAGATGAGTCGTCTGGTATATAGAAAGCAGGACGCCAGCCCAAAACTGGCCTTGGCCAGCTTTTCTTCCCGATGCTATCTATCTGCGTTTCCGTCAGCCGTAGAAATGCAGATAATCTGCGCCAGAGCAGCAAGGGAGCCATCGCGCAGACAAGGCTGAACCAACACGAGCCGTCTCAAGGGATCTCTGGTCAGGTGTTCTCAAGCTTATGGACACCAGAGACTGCATGCCCGGCCTGAAGCCAGCAAATGACAACACAGCGTCCCGGGAAACTCCATCTGCATTTTGGCCAGCTCCCAAAATGCAGATGAGTCGTCTGGTATATAGAAAGAAGGAGGCCAGCCCAAAACTGGCCTTGGCCAGCATTTCTTCCCGATGCTATCTAAGATCTGTTTTGCCACTAGCACATTTATCTGCATTTAGTGCAGCACAGGAAACGTAAATAGAAGTTGCATTTTTCTTTTTCACACAAGTTAGCCGATGTCAAAGCCCATCTCTGCATTTCCAGGAGCTGCCAAAATGCAACTGAAAACTGCTTTGCCCCTTTCCTAGTCATTGCTGGCCAATGTCAAACCCTATTTGCATTTGTACACTCTGCCAAAATGCATCTAAGATCTGTTTTGCCACTAGCACATTTATCTGCATTTAGTACAGCGCGGGAAACGTAAATAGAAGTTGCATTTTACTTTTTCACACAAGTTAGCCGATGTCAAACCCCATCTGCATTTCCAGAAGCTGCCAAAATGCAACTAAAAACTGCTTTGCCCCTTTCCTAGTCATTGCTAGCCAATGTCAAACCCTATCTGCATTTGTAGAATCTGCCAAACTACATCTAAAATCTGTCATGCCACTAGCACTTTTATCTGCATTTAGTGCAGCGCGGGAAACGCAAATAGAATTTGCATTTTACTTTTTGACAAAAGTTGGCCGATAGTAAACCCCACCTGCATTTCTCGGATCTCCCAAAATGCAAGTGAAATCTGCTTGGCCACTTCCCTGCCCATAATGTAGTAGCGGATCTTGAAATCTATCTCATACATTGTGCAACGACACCCCCCATTTGCATTTCCAGACTGTCCCTCAACGCAGGTGACATCTTTACAGGCCGGCTTCCACACCACATGGAACGCGGCACAACGGAACGGAACGGACCGGACCGAGATCCGCGCGCCCGGAACGGACCGGCCCGGCCATCCCTGGAGTGATGCTATACTTTGCTATTGTAACTTATGATGCCGTTCTCTACACAAATATCCTCCGATTCTGTCAGCATCCAAGTGGCTGGGAAGGATTCCTTGATGAAGTCCATTCCCCTCTCTTCCATGAGGATGATCAAAACTAAGCATCCCAGCACTGTGCCGACCGCGTTGGCCACTGCAGTGTAGAGCCATCCTAAGGCTCTGCGAAACGGAGTGAGGATTTTCCGACAACAATGAACATGGACTCAATCCAACGGTCTCTTCCAAGGTAGTTTTTCGGCTGCATGTACTTGTTCTCCCGAGATCCAAACCCAGTGCCAAGCACACAAAACATGTTTATAATCCCGTACATATAGATAATACATGTATAAACTTAAATATATTATATATATATGTGTGTGTGTACCTAATTATACAAACATACTTACATACACACACACATATATATTATATGTATGTATATATATATATATATATATTGCCAATGACCTCCAAGAGTCTATTGGGATTTGCCAGCACAGCAGAGCAGTAGAGGATCACTAAGGGCGCCGACATCACCAGTAAGAAGAGGTTGGCACCTGACAGCAGGCCCACCAGCACTGGAAACCATGGCGCTGCCGCGAAGGCCTTCAGCTTCACCAGGCCATCTTTCAAGGCCATGTTGGGGCTCCCAGCGGCTGGGCTGTTTCCGATCCTATCAGAGCCAAAAGGCCTGTTCCAAAGAGATGCGAGTTCCTTGGAGGTGGCAACAGATTAAAACATCTGCACGATCCTGCACGGTGCAAGTGTTTGTTAGATTTTGTTAGCGCCACAATGCCACACCTGAAAACTCATTCTGAAAATAGGATCCCCTGAAATTCGATGGGCGACGATGCTGTACCCCATTGAAATGACCATTTCATCCAGCATCCTCAGCGCTTATGCCCTGCCCCATGGGTCGGTAGCCTTTCTCACATTGGCTAAGGGAGCTCCTGACAAATAAGAGATGGGAATCCTATCTCTGATATGGGGGAAGACCGTCAGAATGAATACCCTCTGATAATCAACATGGCAATGGAAAATCCGCCAATTGTCAATGATTTTCCCATTCAAATGCCAATATCGTGGATTTCGCATTGCCAGGGTAAACCGGAGGGCAAAAACAATTACACTGAAATACTGCTGACAACATCTCTCTAGCGTGACTTTCCATCAGTTTGTCCAACTTCTGCGTATGATGCAGGTAAAACCCGCAAAATCCGCACCCAACGTCCAATGTGCTCCATTTCTCGTAACTCCGGTAGCCCCCTTGTCCTCCACAGCTATGGAAGATACTTTCGACTTCAAAGAAATCGACCCATATCGACCCCTTTTCCAGTTTTGAATGGTCACTTTCCCCCACCCTCACTCCTCGCTTGATGTCAAGGTCGCAGGTACGTTTGGCCCAGGATAATCTCATCACCTGTGCATTCATCAGTTTTTCTTGGAAGAGATCAATGCAATTTACTACAGTACCCAAGTTGTGGACATATCATGGCATATCCATACAGTACATGATCTGAAAGGGGATGGTCTCAGACTTGCTTGGCAAATTTTCCCTAAAAAAATGCGGAGAACATGTGTTAATTTACATGTATAGTGTAAGCTCGTGTGTAGATATCCCATCTCTCCAACCCCTAGCCCTGCAGAATGATGGGCGGCAGCTGTCCGATTCACCTTGGCTTGGACCCAGGACCTCGGCAGCTCTCAAGATGAATCCCCCCTTGAAGCATCAGACTTGAAGCATCAAGAAGCCTCTAAATCAAGCAAAAACAAGCAAGTTGATATACTTTCGGAATCTTTCGGACATCTTAGGACTCAATAGTCCTATGTATTCCTTAGGTGGTGGGCAGTAACTTCTAGCTTCAGTCGCGGCATGTTTTATGCAAGACACTTGGAGGTCGCTGACCAGTACTCCACGGTGTCTCCCACAGCAAAGCGACTGAGCCGTAGCCGACCCGCCGGCAGCATGCGAAGAATGTGGCCCTTGCTCTCCTCGGGTGCCACGGGGAGCGGCAAGTCAGCTGCTGGGATACCCTTCGTGGATGAGGAAACAATAATTTGGTACAGGAAATTAAAGGACCGGATAACCCCACAAGTCAACTTCTTCCAATAATGAGTTTCAAAGGTTGTAGCGGGGTCGGAGAAGGAAGGAAAGACAAAGGAGGTGGTGAAAGACTGTGTGTGAAAGTATGTGAAAAGATAGTATGCATGTACGTATGTATGTCTGTATGTACATACGTACGTATGTATGTATGTATGTATGTATGAATGTATGTATGTGTATGTGTGTGACAAAGTTGCGCGTCTGGTGGTGTTTCTTCCACTAGATAGTGACTTGTCACTGAAGGCCAGAAAAGAAACAAGATATGCTTACCACGGAAATTCTTTGTGGGATCCAAGGGTGTGTGCTGAACACTAGGTCTCACGACGTGTCTCACTCGCCTTCTTCGAGTTCCACCAGGCCTTCTTCGAGTTCCACCAGGCTCTGATGGTTTTTTCCCCGACGTTGCTTCCCGAAAGAGCTTTTATGGCAGAGCCCTCTATCAAAGCGATGGTGTGCTCTCCATACTTCCGCTGACCAAAGTAATGTTCTGCACTCTTTCGGGCGAAGCCGCAAATTTTGCGAACTCTTTCTGCATGCCCTGTGGCTGGTAATCATACCTGGTAAATAGTCATGATCAACTGCTGGCGTCATGGACGTGAGATTGTGCCCACCGCGTGCCACGTGAAATCAAGGTGTATGTCACCAAGTGCCATCAGTGAGGCGCCTGCCACGCAAAACGACCTTGCATGTAATCAAGGTGGACGTCACCAAGTGCCACGCCTGCCACGCAAAGTGCCGCGGCGTCACAGGCGACAAATCCGGACCAAGCGCGCCACCCAGTACCATGAGTGCCACGCCTGCCACGCAAAACGACGGTGGATGCGAGTGAGTTTGTGCCACGCGTGCCACGTGAAACGAAGGTGGATGTCACCAAGTGCCACGCCTGCCACGCAAAGTGCCGCGGCGTCACAGGCGACAAATCCGGACCAAGCGCGCCACCCAGTACCATGAGTGCCACGCCTGCCACGCAAAACGACGGTGGATGCGAGTTTGTGCCACGCCTGCCACGTGAAACGAGGGTGGATGTCACCAAGTGCCACGCCTGCCACGCAAAGTGCCGCGGCGTCACAGGCGACAAATCCGGACCAAGCGCGCCACCCAGTACCATGAGTGCCACGCCTGCCACGCAAAACGACGGTGGATGCGAGGTTTGTGCCACGCGTGCCACGTGAAACGA